AAAAAAATAAAATTTCTCTGCTGCTCTTGCCATAGCCAGCTGGAACTCAAGTCTTTGATAACTTGCATCTTGGACTTTTTATTTTGTATCTTCTCATTCTTTTTGTTTGTGTCATTGTGGATTCCACTATTTGTTCCCAGGCCTGAGGTGAGATTAATTTTTAATAAGGTCTGTTGAGGTTATGAATGGGCATTGTGCTGCTTTCTGCGTGCCCATATCAGAAGAAAAGGAGTGTTGTCCTTAGTGGAGAAGTCTTCAACTTACAGTGTTTCCTTGATGATGATGATGAGGGTTGGTAGATGGAGGCATGAGGAAGGTGAATAAATACTTCTATTATATATATCCTGTGTTTCAGAATGATAATACTTGCTTCCATGGCTCTCACTCTGCTGACACTTGTATCTGAGACAGGTATTTACCTGTCTTGGAGACATTCAGTCACAAAATGAGGAGTTATAATACTTTTGCGAGAGAAAATTGTGTTGGCAGTAAGATCAGACTTTTGTTTACTTTGCAGTTAACATGAAATGGGTGAGGATACTTTTTTAAAAACCAACCAAACCAACCAACCTATTGTATAGCTTGCAAACAAGATAGTGCATTAGATGTAGATGCATGTAAGGGAAGACAAAGCTCTAGTGAAGTTAAATACCTAAACTCCTCACCCATCCCCAGTGTATGTATGCTCTAGACCTCGTGATTGATTTTGTTACCAAACAAATAACCTCAGATTAAGGTCACTGGAATTGCTTGAAATCAATGCATTTTCACTAAATGACTATCTCCTCCCATTCATTTTGTTTGGGGGAAACATATGCAAGAATCCTAATGTCTTAATTTAACATGGATAATTGGTCTGGAAGACTTACATTGTTCTGGGCTCTTGGCTTTGCGTTTGTTTTCTTAAAACAATAATTAAACTTACTAATTGATTCTATCAGAAACTCCACTGGAATGCAAAATGAGCTGGGGCTTCAGTAACTGGTTTATTTTTCTTTGAGTGTCTTATAAAACTTAGCCTGAGGCAGCAAATCTATTGTGCATTAAAAATTGGGTCCTAAAGTTATTTGTAAAATCATTTAGTACTTCATACATATATCAGTGAACTGGTGGTCAGATCCTTAAAGTGTTACCTGTATTTTAATGAATTCTAATTATGAGGAAGTTTTTTCTGATTACGTATTAACTGAAAATTTGGAAAGACATCCTCAGGTTAGAACTGAGGATATTATAATTTGGATATATAGCATTTTTATTAAAGACGCTAGAAATTTTCTTCTTGTCTTCAGTACAGTTAGTATTCCCAATGTGTTTCTAAAACATTAACAAAATGACTTTTATTTCTGTAAGTTTTGGATAAGTTAAGTGGTTTGCTTCCTTTCCTCTTCTAATAATTCAACTCAGAAACATCCTGATCACTTGTTTGCCTGTTGTACTGGCTTACCTATAATAAATACACAATTCTGCTCTTGTCAAGTACACTGTTCATGAAGGTGGCGTGGAATGAACTGGTGCTTTAAACCCCCTTGGCTAGCTCCTCTTTTTGGTGACCAAACTAACATGCGACTGTTTTATTTTTGGAGTGGTAACTCTGTTCTTTGTCCTCTTCTGTGAAACTGGCAATGGATTAACTTCCTTTCCCACTGTTTTCTTATTGTGGAATATATATTAAAGCAGGTTACATGCCCCTCCGTCACAGATGGCCTCATTCAGTACTCTGCAACAGCAAATATAACTACTTGATTCAATCCAAACTGGATTCAAAACAAAACAAATCACAAGCTGTTAAAGAAAGTGGTGAATGCAGGTAGATAATAAGAGGTATTTAATGCTAGGCACCTTGCTTGGAGGCGTTAATAAAGTGTGGCTTAGATGAGCATCCCAGTTTTTCTGCATTTAAATTATTGTTATCAGGTGATCTTTTGTTAGCCTTGGATCTGTCTGAGGAAAGATATTTGTCCTGTATAGCTCAAACTGTGAGGTTGGGACCATTGCCGTTTGTGTGGAAGTCTTTCAAACATCTGTGGGACGTTGTTGGGCGGACACATGGGCACTGGGTAGAGATGGGTAGGACAGAGCTTTGGAAGGGAGCTCAAGGTCCCCCTTGGGCAGGATGAGCTGGCACTGTCATTCTTGATGAGTTCTAAACCACGCTGCTTTGATGATTGGAGTATTTGCTAAGGTAGTGGATAGGCATAAACCACATGGTGGAACAGCAGGGAAAAAAATTTCTCAAATGTTCATGTGTATTTAAAAAAAGTTTTCCTAGCAGTTACAATCACTTTAGTGAACTCCATGCTTAATGTTGTACAGATTTGTTACTGCCCTTTTCTTCAGAGTTACGGTTATACATCTTGCTGTAAAATGTGATAGTCAGGATGAATATTTAATGTCTTCGTATCTGCCAGAGACTGAAAGTTAATGGCTACATTCTGCACTGATACAAGCAAACATTGTTTATTTACAGCAAAGCTAATGTTGATTTTACGTTCTACATAGTAATATGAACAGTGCAATATTTAAATGTGCTAGAAAAAAGAAAATACGAAGAGCTGTGTTTTGCAAATCCTTTTGAAGATGATCTTCAAGTAGTCAACATTACTGGTGCACGAGAGGGTTTTTACGGGTATGATCCCTATGGTAGGAAGTGACTTTTTGAGCAGATAAAGGAGCGTCAGGTCCAACAAGTAGTTAAATGTAGAAGGCTAAATTATTCCTCCATAGGAGGAATTCTCCTCCATAGGAGAAGGTTCATGAGAGAAGTTTATGTGGCTTTCAATGAGGCCTGTTGTGTTTAGAGAAGTGATTGCCTGCTTTTCTCTTTTTTTAGTTTTTCCTTTTTCTTTTTTTCCCCAAGTTTGCTGTCTTATTTTGATAACCACGAGGATTTTTAGTACAACAAATTGGTTTTTGTTTGTAGTATATAAGGAAAACTTATTTTAGCTGACAAGGACTTTTTAAAGTCTTTATATAAGTTGTCAGAAAAGATAATTGCAAAAGTATATTCTAGTATTGCTTTGTGTTTGTTGAATGTTCTGGTTGGTAGCGATAATTATCATGAGATTAAAGTGTGATTAAGTAATAACAGACTGAGTAATAGAGAATCAGTGAGTGCTGGAGGAGAAAATTAATAGATCTGAGACGAGATTTTTGCTTTGGGCATGAGGGTACATTTAGAATGACTGTGTCGCCTCTGTGGCATTTCTCTGCAGTGACATGGAGTGCTCGACCGCAGCTTTGTCTTGTCTCTTCAGTGGTGTGATGATGCTAATGTACCAGCTTCAGCTCATCTTTATTCGGTTTCTGTTTTTCTCGTCTGTTAGTTGATAATACAGAACCAGCTTCTGTAAGGTGGTTGTGAAAGCTGTCTGTAAAGATGACCCTAGAAATTTCAAGTATTACTGGTATGCTTTCCAGGTAAATGAGGGGTACTTTTCCAGGTAGGTTGCAGTAATTTGGCTGGCTGATTGTAAGTGTGCTCACAGTTCATTGTAAATCTCAGAAAGGTACTTATTTACTCTTATTTAATCACAACTCTTATTTAATCATTAGAGTTGTAGCACAGTAATGCCATAAATATTTAGTGATAGATAGCAATGCTTTGGAAAAAAAATCTAAAAATGTGTGTCAGTCATTTGAAGTTCTTCAGCAGCTTTGGGTGCTTTTATGCTCTTCTATATTAGTGCGAATCTGTGTCAAATTTTGTATAAAGGCTTCTGTGTTAGTTGTTAACATGTAGTTCTTTGGCATACTGCTCTGATCAGATTCATTTGTTTTTGGAGAGATTAAGAATTGCAAATTTAAATATGTGTGAATAATAATCTGAGTGAACTGTTTTTATGAATTGCCCAGGATTAAAAGGAAGCTTTTATCCCATGTTCAAACTTAGAATGTATTTTTCTCTTTGCTCTTTTAGTATATGGATGTATAAACTAATTTCATTATCAGTTGTTCAGTTCTGAATCTAATCAGGGATGTTAACATGCTCTGCATGTTGTTTCTGACTTTGTACCAGAATTTTGTTGGCATTATCTTTTATTTACTAGCATTAAAATGTAAGTAATTGAGAGAACAAAAAAATGAATGTATTGATAAGCAACTAATTGTTAGAAATTAGCTTTTCGGGAGTCCTAATAATTGAACATAAATGACAAGTTATATTATTCCAGAATGTTTGACTAGAAATAAATAATATTTGGTGTTTATCTCTGCTGGTCACACATCTGAGTTATGTCATCTGTTGATCTGTAAAAATTTCTGGTCTATCACTTTTTCAAGGTTGTTCTTACAGTAAGGGATGGAAACTTGTATTTGTAAAAACAGTGGTTTTGGATAATAGTATTTTCCAGGAGTATTTTTTGTATTCAAAAAATAATTGCAAGAATGTTTTGCCTTTAATTTTTTTTCTGAAAGTACAGTGGAATCTGATCTTAGAAGTCAAACAACAGAATTACATTAGAGAAAATGCTATATTATCTTTGCTTCAAAACAACAATTACAAAAAGAGTGAGTTAATTTTGTTGCAAATCTTTTTATTGAATGATGTTTGCTGTTTTCTTCTGAGAGTCAGTAATTTGCAGGAAGATAAAAATGTATCATATACAAAGTCTAACAAGTGTTTTCTAAATTAATCACTTTTGGTTCACCTCTTCATTTATTTATTCATTTTGTGCTGCAGGTTGAACTTCAGTTTCAGTTAAATCGCTTACCCCTCTGTGAAATGCATTATGCCTTGGACAGGATTAAGGACAACAGTATTTTGTTTCCAGATGTCAGCATGACTCCCACCATACCCTGGAGTCCCAACAGGTACAAGAATACGCACACTTTAATATCAAAGATTGTATGGTAATGCAGTACTGAATTTCTCATAACAGATGGCTGAAATCTGCCCTAGAACAAGAAACATGCCTTGCTCTTCATTAATGGTGAGGATGGTTCAGAGAAGGGAGTGAAACTGTTCTAAATAAAACAAGAAAAGTGATCCTCTGAGGACTAGAATCTGTTGATTGGTTTTCCCTCTGGTTGAGCTGTGGTTTTATAGGCATTGCATTTGTACTGTAGGTGTAGAAATCTATTTTTATTTGCTGTTCTGCTGTTCTTACTGAAAATATGCATGATACTTGAGAGGAATGTAAACGCCAGTTAGGAATTTGTTGTGCAGAATCTTGAGCATGCAGACTCCTATGCGCAAGGAGCAATCATAGAATTATAGAATGGTTTGGGTTGGAAGGGACCTTTAAAGGTCATCTAATCCAACCCCCCTGCTATGAGCAAAGACATCTTCAACCGGATCAGGTTGCTTAGAGCCCTGCTCAGCCTGTCCTTGAATGTTTCTGAGGGTGGGGCATCTGCCACCTCTCTGGGCAACCTGTGCCAGTGTTTCACCACCCTCATTGTGAAAAATTTCTTGCTTATATCTAGTTTGAATCTGCCTTCCTTTAGTTTGAAAGCATTACCCGTTGTCCTGTCATCCTGTCAATTAGTACTTTTTGAGTTCGATGCAATAAGCCCAAATTTGGACATACCGCTGAGGGGGATGACTAAGAAAGGTATGGGAATGAGTCTTGGAAGGACCAGCATTGCACTTGCCAGCAGTCCTTCGATTCTTTTTATATGTATCTTAGTTTCCTTTATTAAATTATAAACCCCTATGTTATATAAATACTTTTAAGGAAACTTAAAGCTGACACAGTGAAAATAGTTTATCTCAAAGAGGATACTTAGAAAAGAGAAATGTGAGGCTGTGTTGCTCAGGGAATACGGTCAGTATTCTTACTGCATAGGGAAGGATAAGAGAGGCATGAGGTTTCTGTACTTAGAAACCAGGGAAATGAGAGGTATGTGGAACTGATAGCCAGTACAGCATGCAAGGACTCGTGGGGTGTCTTGACAGTGAGAACTAAGAGTGTGATTGTGATGCAGTACAAATCAGAAGATAGCTCAGGGATTAAAAGGAAAGTGATCTGGCCAGAAACCTCAGACAGCGAGATAATGCAAGACAAAAATTACTAGAAAAATTTGAGTTTGTCTTTGGAGATGTAGGAATAGCAGACATGATAAAGAGGTGGGAGCAGTGTTCCGGGTGAGGATGATTGCAGCATGCATCAAAGCTTTGACAGTACGGGCAGAAAGAAGGGAATAGGTTTTGCATAGAGTTATACTACAAAGCTAATGGAGGTCAGTGACAGTCTGTTCGCTGAATTAAGTTTTGAGTGAACCTTACAAGGAAGTAGTGCTTAAGATTAGTTTGGAAGTAAGCAGTGATTTCAATAAAAAGAAGGTAAGTCAAGTAAGCTAGAACTTTATCTTCTCTGTTTTATGTCAGGAAATGTATATTTATGGAAATTTATATTTACAGAAATTTACATATTGGTTGTAGTTGATATAATTTGTATAATGTTTTATATTTTTTTAATATACATAAATGGTATATGTAGTGGTTGTAGTTCAGTTTTAAGTCAGTGTAATAAGCATGTTTTTTTCCATCTGGTGGCTTGGTTTGCCCTACCTTGAGAATCAGTACTGCTGACTGACTCAAAACTGCCTTTCGCTCTGTTTTTCTTCTATTTTTGTTTTATATTCCTATTACTTTCCAGTATTTCTGAGAGACTCCTGCCAGCTTGTTGTTCATAGATGTCTTGAAAGTTAGGAATTCAGTCAATTGCTTCTTGATTTTACTCCCTGTTGCTAACTACTACTGGATAGAAACTTTCCCAGTCTGTAGGAAGCATAGTGCTTGTACCACAGCAGATCATGTTACTAAAGTATGGCCATATGTGCAGCAGTGACAGGTGTTTTTTACTATGCATGTCTACTTTTAAATCTGTCAGTGGAAATATTAAAAACTGTGACTACAAATCTTTAACCTCTTCTGGTCATTGGAGTTTTCTGAAAGCATCTTCCTCTTAATGCTGGTATCAGTAGCTGGTTACAGCAGAAATCCTTTTTTTAGACTGCTTTCCCATTAGAGGTATGTGTATTAATGATTTTATAAAAAAAAGAAAAATAAAAAAGAGAAGTTTTTAGTTAATTGGTAGCCATTAGTTTCTTAATAGTTTTTTAATTTCATTGCAGGTAACTTTTACCAAGCCCTAGTATAACTGTTGACTTTTAAAGATGACAACGTAAATACTACAGGGCAGAAACATAACTAATGTTACATTTTGCATAGTAATAGTAGAAAATCATCGTATGTCTACTTGCTTTTGTGATCAGGTGATGGTGCAGCATATACTTTTTCTAAAATGTGTACTATGCAGGTTGATTCTTGTTAGGTGAGATAATGTAAGCTTTTGGGGAAAGAAACAAAAAACCCCAACCAAACAAAAAAACCCCAAACAAACAAACAAAAAAGAAAACAAAAAACCCAACCAAACAAAAAAACACCCCCGAAAGCTGATTTATTGCAAATACTATGAATTTTTTGTGATTAAAGCATGTGATGGTTTTCCTGGATTTGTTGTTTTGTTTCAGGGTGCCTCAGAATGTCACAGTCAATGCAGTAGCATATAGGCTCTTTAGTTTCTTTTAAAGCTTTTGAAATCTTACCTTATTTCTGACTGACAGTGGATTATCATAGCTTCTGTTTTTAAACTCTGTTGCCTCCTTTTGTGCAGACAATGGGATGAGCAGTTGGACCCACGACTAAATGCTAAGCAGAAAGAGGCTGTTCTGGCTATCACTACTCCACTTTCAATACAACTGCCTCCTGTTCTTATCATCGGTCCCTATGGGACAGGAAAAACGTTCACTCTGGCTCAGGCAGTCAAGCACATACTCCAACAACAGGATACTAGGTGAGATGGAGCACTAAATATAGAGCGATACTTGATTAGCAGAGATGTAATTTTTTACTTAAATTCAAGTGAAAGGTAGAAATAGAGAATTTCCATCCAGCTTAAAACCAAACAAACCCCAAGCCATCCGTCACTGTTTTGAATGATAAAGTAATTTTATAGTCTTAGCCTGTATTTTCCATTTAGAACAAAACTAATTAAAATTGACAATATGTAGAATGACTGTGATTTACTTGACATGGAAAGTTTTGCAGTATGCTAGATAATAAAAGCTGTTCCTTACTTAAAGTCTAGATTAATAATCACACAATAATTACTGAAAAACTGTTTGAACTTTAAATCTTTTCATAACTGAAGAATTGGAGGTAAAGGGCTGAATCATGCGAACTATGGTAGGTTAGTGACTATTTCATTAAGATAAATGTGCAGGAAGATGAGATGGCCACTGTTTCTTTTTTTTTGTATTCTACTGCTTTGAATTGTTTTCTGTTTCTTCATTGCTTTTTTATTTGCACCATTTATTCCAGCAGGATTCTCATTTGCACCCATTCTAATAGTGCTGCTGATCTCTACATAAAGGATTATTTACATCCATATGTAGAAGCAGGCAATCCCCAGGCAAGACCTCTCAGGTATTTTTTTAAGGCTTATTATGTATCTATAAAATACTATTCTTAAGAAAAGGTGTCTATAAAAAAGGTTAAAGAACTTTTAAAACATAAAAGCATATTGGCATTACCAGCAGTGCTTTTAAAAACATAAACTAAAAGGAACATGAAACATTGTCAATGTAATTTTGGGTTATTTGTTAAATAAAAATAAAGACATCCTTTTTTAAGCTTTTATTATTCTATTGATAAATGTGTCTTTCCTAATGAGCAAACTTTTGATATGCTCTTCTAAAAGCTACTATGATAAAATAAAATGAACTTTAATTGTATTTTACTTCCAGAAAATTTTGACTTACACTTACAACGATAATTTGGAAACTGGGGCTACCCATTTGGCTTTTTGAAGAAAAATTTTGGTGTCATAGGAGCTACGTATTTAGAGAACCATGTGAAAGTAGTTTGGCCTCTTCTGATAAGTCAGTTTGAAGTCATTGTATATATGGTTAAACGTACTTATTGTGGGTATTTGGGGAAAATTAGTTAAGGAAAAAAAATGAAGAAGAGGTGGGAACTTTTAAGAGCAAAGAGGGTAAACTTACATAGAAATAGTTAAGGAGGATTTATTTATGGGCAGAAACTTAGCTCGTGGGAATATTTTGCACAGTAATCACAATATATACTGATATACTGCTAGCTTAGTGTATATATATTAGAAATTATGAGCATCATTTTCTGACTACCAATGTGTGAGTTTATTACTAAGAAAATGACTCTGTATGTTTACTTGTTAGCTATGGAAAGCCATCTTGGACTTACATTTTTATGGAATGTCAGTAAAGCCGGTGAAGTTATGTGAAAGGGCTAGATTTACAACAGGTGTAAATTCTCTTGAGTTTGCTGGCTTTAGTTGCCATGTGACATTTTACAGACACTGAGGATCTGGCCAAGGAAAAGAAGGCAGCTTGTTTTTGAAAAGTTACCTTTGATCTGGTTGTATTTTAACATAGATTGTCATAAGGTGATTTGTAAAGCACTTTGTGATAAAAAGCATTATGGTGTCTTAATTTTGTGGTGGAGAAAAAATGTGTGTAATTGACACTTTCGGGAATATTGAAGTGTGATTTAACAGAACAAGGAGTTAAGTACAGTTTTGTTGTGGTTGCCAGGCTTTTGCTACCTTCTTTTATGTACTCTATTCAACTGTGTAGTCCAGTCTCAGAAATAGTTATGAAAAACACTCATAAACAGAAGTGGTATTTTTCTTATGGTTAAAATATATATCCATGTTTGCCAAGAAAATTACAGCACATAGTTTAAAAGTCACTGAATGTTTGAATTTAAGTATAATTGTCATAGTATTTGTTATAAAGCCTTCAGAAAATGCTGCTGTAGATTGTATGATATTGTTGAAATAGTCATGATATGACTATAAAAAGTTAAAGTTTTAGAAAATGGAGGCACCTCTGGAATTGTGTATATATATTTATGGATCCACAAGTATGTATGCTTTCAAATAAAAAATATTATATATAATTGAGCAGCATATGTTATTTGAAAGCTAACTGCATGTCGACCTGAACTGGTGGGAGTTAAAGGGTCAATTTAGCTGAATTGAAAGCTAGAGCTATGTGAGTCTCCTAGCAAAAAATTAACCATGTATCTCTTATCTTTCTTATTAACTGTTGTCAAGTTATATTTTCAAATTAAAAGAAACAGGGTGCTCTGAGCCTCTTGAAATATTTTTAAAAAAACATCAAGTGGTGTGGAAGCAGTTAATTATCAAAGCTGGATGTGCTACTTACAGAGTTTAATGTTTTTCTGAATGGCTGAACAGTTTGCTTTAGATTTTTTTCCTTATTTACTGTACAAGTGATGAGTTGGCTGAATAGTATCCTTGCTAAAAATGAGCTTAGTGGGGAGCGCCATAATATTTATGTTGTTTTTAAAGAAGGAAAGCTGAATTATTTAACATTGACTGAGTACTGAGAACTGTGTAAATATTTCTGTGGGTAAGATGTACACTAAATAAATTATCCTGTCAATGATGTGACATAAAAGTTTGAAGCCTAGAGTTGAGGTTTTTTGTTTAAATATCATGTTATAAATTCATATTTTTTCCTAGCAGCATAACTTTCTGTGCCCTTTGTAAAATGCAAAGTCAGAATGAACACTGAGAATTTATGTTGAGTCTAAGTTATGCACCTAAGTAAAATACCAATGAAACCTGAAGGCCAAATTCTCATAGTCCTGCTGCCCATAAACAAATTTGTATCCAGAAAAAAAAAAATGCCGCTGGGTTTGATTAGATGATTGAACGGTATTAGGGGCACACTGCAAAACTTGACTTCTACTGAAGAAACTTGACACTGCAACAATTTTGTTATACTTAGGTAAATTATTGCAGAAGTGTTTCTGAAAGAAGAAAACAAACCAACCCTAACCTACAGTTAGGAGGAAAGAGCCTTTGATTAAGTGCTTCTGTTTGGTGCTTAGACACCTGATTTTAAGTATGCAGAAGCAGGCACCTTTAGATGGTGAGTCAAGCTGTAAGAGGTAGTAATTGGCTCCCAATTTGTGTATACCCTTTTACTCTGTGGATATGCTTGTCTCTCTCCATCAACTGCTAGAGTCTTCCGGAGGTAGGCTGCTGAGGTGTAGGCACGGTAACTTCAGATTATCACCGCCTCCTAAAACTCCAGTCAAGACCTAGGAAACAGATAGCAGCAGTTTCTCTGTATGTTTCTGGGCATACACTGGTTGAGTTATCTACTGTTTATTACTATTATTTTACTTGCATATTTTCAAATTTAGTTGTATCCATACACTGGTTCTGTATGTAATACTAGGGGAAAAGGAAAGAGGTTGATACTGCTTTTATCTGCATTTTTAGTATTTTTATTTATTCGTAAACATATTATTGCTAACTATCAGTTCAGCAATATCAGAAAATAAGTTGATTCTGTTTAAAATACCTCAGCTGAAACCTCTCCAGTTCATTTTTTAGATACTTTGATCATAACGTACATGTGTAAGTACTGCATGTAGCCTGAAACCAGGTGGCTTTAGTATGTGGCTCCTAGCTTCAGGAGATACCCAGACTATAAAAATTAATCAGTTGGAGCAAACCAGAGTTCGAATTTAAAAAAAAAAAAAAAAGCCAAACACAAACCCAACAGGTTTTAAAGGACAGTTGCCCTTTTTTCCAAATTGCCTGGAGTAAAGTTCTTGTACTGAAAATGGTATTTCTCTTAGCAAATGTTAGTTTGTAAAATAAATGCCTCTTTAGGCAATTACTTTTTTTTTCTTGAAACTCTAACTTCTATCTTATGCTATACTCAGAGGAAGATTGATTAAAAAAGTTAACTTTCAGGTAATACGACAGGTTCTTCACACATTTTCTGCATCCCAAGGAATATACTTGTTCATGAGAATAAGCCTGTCTTTTGGAGGTGGATCAAAAGAAATGGAAGAGGGAAATCAAGTGCTTTTAAAGTTTTCTTTAGGCTTCTTGGGACTACTTAGATTTTTTTTTTTTTTTCTTTTAATGGTCTTTTAACAGAGGCATGAAATTAGACCACCAAATTCTTTTTCCTCTAGGCTTCTGTGTTCTTTTTGCTTGAGGGATTTCAGGTGAGAAATAACTGCACAAAATCTGAGGAACTGGGGTTGGAGTTTATCCAAGAAGTGTTCTTTGGCACACAGCCTGAAGGGAGAATTCTGACCTTTTTATCAAGAACTGGGAGGAATTAGTGTTTTCCAGTTCAGAATAGGGAAAAGAAGTTTTGAAGAACTTAAATTTAGTCCCCATTCACTCTGTTGTAAGGAGTCATGAGAAGTAGAAGTTGCTTTTGTAGGACAGGAGTGCAAATGAAACTCCAGCCTTCCTCTAGGTTCTGACCCTAGGCTCCCTCTTTATTAACTTTTAGAAGTATCTTTTAAGTGATTTAGGAGCAAACACAGCCTGAAACATGAACAAGGAAATGATTGTGAATCTTAATTACTGATATAAATTCACTACTTTTGCAAAGAGTCTATTGTACAAATTGATACTTTGATGGAACTTAATCAGTGGAAGCAAAACATGAAAGATTAGGAAATACTCAATTTGACTAACATTTAATAGAAATATTTGAGCAAATTTCTTTTTTGACATAATGGCTGGAAAGTTGATGGAAACATGGACGGGTTAGCTGACAATTTGTTCCATTCTTTGGCTCATTGGCTAGAGGTCCACAGAATGAAGATTCTTGTTGTAGATATCCAGATGCCATATTTGGAAATGAAGGTGCTATGAATTTCCACATGAAATGCAGATTCTGTGCATGTTAACCAAGCGTTAGTAAGTACAGTGGATGTATTCAGTGCTTTTGTTTGCAGAAGATTGAGTCCCTAATCTATAATGTTCTGGGATTTCCATTTCAATGTGGTTCTCTATGTATTTGCTAGTAATTTCACTGCCTGTGATTTGGGTAAACCTTAGCCTTCAAGGTTTTAATTTCTCCAGAATTAAAGTCTTGGTGTGAGGCACATGATGTGAGAAAACATACTCTCACATGAGCTGTGGCTGGGTTTTGGTTTTGTAGCTGCAGTTTTCGCTCATCTTTGTACTTACAGCTGCACACTAATAGAATGTGTTGCAGGTACTAATGAATGTTTTGATTAGTAACTGCCCAACTCTGCTGACATTCAGGTACTTTGCTTATGCAGGTATTAAGATTAGAAGGTTAGTCACTTGTTTAATCAGAATTTAAGGGTATGTTGCAGGGTGAAATGTTATAATTTGTGTTAAGCTGATAAAACCCATTTTTGTAAGGGGTTTCTCTAAGAACCAAAAAAAACCTAATAATGAAGTTACGGGAGTTTTTCTTAGCCTAAATTACACCTGAGAAAGAAATCCCTTGTTCAGTGTGGCTTACTTATATCACAACATTTTCGAAGTAGTCACGTCTGTCAGGTGTTTTTTATGCCAGTGGTGAATAATAGCTCTGGGATACCTTTTTGATCTCACATCAAAATAACAGAAATTAATAGGTAAGCAGCAATGCAGTTTGAAATGCTGTCAGCCAATCTGTGTCACACGTAGTTGAATTTTTGTAATAAAAGACAGTGCATGGTATAATAACGTCTAATAACTGTAATGTTTTGCATTTCAATAGCACCTTTCATCCAAGAATCTCAAAGTGCTTTACAAACATAAACTCATAATAAACTCATTAATCCTCACAGTACTCCTGTGAGATGGTAGGTAAGTATTACCTTCAGTTAAGATTGAGAAACGGAATCATATGAAAGCTGACTGAATGGCTGGGATAAATAGAACAGGGATTATCTTGCTCCTACTACCACCTTCTAGCTATTAGGCCATGACTCATCTTGTTACGCTGATGTAACAACAGTTTATCAAATAAAGCTTATCAGTTCGATGGTTGATAAGAAAGAAGTGTATTGGGTAACATTAGAAGGTTCTTGTTCTGAGGATGACTCAGGAGGAGGTTTGCTCCTCCACTGAACCCAGTGTTAACTGGAGTTACTTTTCGTCACGAAGTGTCAGTTTTTGTCGGTTGTGTTGTCAAATCAAAAAGCCATTCAGAATACTGCAGTGCCTCTGCACCTCTTTGCATTTCATTTTGTGCTTATTGTCCAAAATGGACATTGTATTTCCTCAAACTAAATTTATTATAATCCTAATAATTGTTTCTCTCATATTATATGGAACTGGGCTGTAACTTACAAATATGGGTGGACATGCGATATCCAAAGTCCAGCCAGTACAATCATGTTTTGCACTTAGGTGCATAATTACACTTTTCCAGATACTTTGTTAATGATTTGGGATTTGTGATATGGGTGCAGGAGAAAGTCAATAATGAATAAACAAACCAAGCAGTGTTAAATCCCATTTTTAGAACTGAAATCAGTTTAAATCATTTCATCTTAATTTGCTTTGGAAATAAATTAAAATAACTTCAATTCTAAATATTAGTATCTGTACAATAGTTTCCTATAGTTTAAAGGTTCCACTTTAGATTCACAATTCTTACTTGATAGAGGTTGTATTTTTGAGGAACACCCCATAGAGAAGCCCTTAGACGTCTTTATCCCGATCCTCAGCTGGTTTGCTTTGGTATATTTCTGTATACCTCTGTGGAGGTTTTTGTACTCTGTTTTCTGGGGCATAGTCTTTTTGTCTTCCCTGTTCCTCTCCCATTTAGCTAGACTGGCTGTGACATTTCATCACTTTTAAAGAAAAATTCATCATTAATCTCATGATACGGTGATTAAAATTATCTTGTGTGTCATGGAAAGATATTGGAAGTCCAGTGCTTTGCTGACAATGTCCTGATATTTTAGACTCTAGCTGTCCTTTCTGGCACTGTTTTCTAATTCTTTTATACACTGTGTCATAATTATGGCCCTGCATGATAAAAAGATGAATATACTTCCTGTTTGGTTCTTAGAACTCAGAAGACATATAGTATGTGTACAAGGAAGTACAAGATTTTGTTAATGTCTTTTGACATTTTTTTTTAAAGAACCTATGGCTGCAGTTGATGAAATGTGCAGACCACTGCAGCAGCTCTGTCGGTTCCAAGACTATGGACTATATTTATACTTCAGCTGAGGAAATATTTCTTTTAAAACGAATTCACTGATAGTTTAAAATGAAATACACATTGATGTGAGGGTCACAGAACTTACATGTATGAAGAATTTACAGATTTCTGTATGTGAATTAATCCTTGCTAACTGTTCAGGTATGTAGTACTGCACTGCAGCAAATAATGGAAGGTCAATCCAAGACATTTTAGCATATTTTAGCATGTAATTCTGCATAGTTGTGATGTTTTGCTTCCTGAAGATTACATTTATTTACCAGAAAACAAAATACTAGCATTTGAAATATTAGGCTGTCACTGTGTTCAGACTGTATAAAAAATAAGCCCCCTTTTTCTTTTCTAGGGTATATTTCAGAAACCGCTGGGTAAAGACTGTCCACCCAGTTGTGCATCAGTACTGTTTGATTTCAAGCACACATTCCACCTTTCAGATGCCCCAGAAAGAAGACATTCTTAAGCAACGAGTAGTAGTTGTTACTTTAAATACGTCACAGTATCTATGTCAACTGGATCTTGAACCAGGTAAGATAATTTCTAAACAAGAAGTGTCCATCCTTGAGAATTTTCTTCCTCTTACCAGTGTTTGTTCCTTACCCAATTCTTTGAACTGTTATAAAATAAAGTAAACAATAATCATCTTAAAATGGTCTTCTCTTTTTTTATGAATAAATATTTATTGCGAAGCTATAAACTGCTAGCATTCAAATTAACCTTTTGCTTATTCTGGTTTTTTTCTTTACTGAAAAAAATTAAAGAAGCAATACTATCTATGATCTGATGTTTCTGAGATCGAAGAGGGAAAAGTCTGTTTGAGATTCTGTCTTTGAATATTATGTTCATTAAGGTCATTACTCAGTGAAGCGTGTAAGCATAAATACACACAGAGAGCTTTTTTCCTTGTTTTGTGAATTGTTCAGCTTTGCAAACAACTCCCACACATACAAGCCCATGCTTTGTTAACGCAATACTTCTAGGGTTGTTTTCTAAACTGGAATGTATTAGACTGATTTTTTTGGGGGCAGAGCCTGCTTAGGGTTTACTGTTTTCTTGATCTCCAAATGAAATCCATCTGCTTTTTGGAGAACATGAAATTTCCTTATAGAAGTTTTTATGATTAGTTTTTTATGTCTACATTTAGGCATTAGTTGCAATAGAGAAAACTAATATGGAATTTATGGTGAATATTTTCAGGTCTTTACATGGAAGTTACTGCTTTGTTTGGCAATGAACTGTGTACAGTCATGCCATAGTAATGTATGTGCAACTGTATGAAATTCATGTCTTCCAGAGAAAATCACTACATTTTTATGCATATAATCTTAATTGGATGGTACACTAAGTCCTCTAATACTTTATTTTAAACCTTAATATATATCATTGTATGAAGCCACTTCTCTTCTGTACCTGTCCTTAATTTACATTTCATAAAATGGAAGTCTACTGTGGCTCAGGTTTTTTTTCAAGTGCATGTTATCCAGTGCATAAATTCCCATCCACCCAACAAACCTTTTGGTCCAGTGTTATCAGAAGACTGAATTTAAATTTCCTTTCAACTTCTGTTACTTTTTTCCCCCTGACATTCCTTAAAGCCCATAACCAGCAAAGTGCTCAGGTATGTGTGCAATTTTAATGGGAAATTTAGTATATAAAAATAGTTAATAGGACTCAAGTACATGAGGAAGTCCTTTTCATTGTCATTGTCCAAAGCTCTTCAAGCCTCATGATGATGAAAAGATTTTCAGATTTGAGAAACCTACTGAGGGAGGTCTGCCAAGAGACATTTCCTCTTGATACGGAGAGCTCAGATAGAGCTCAAGAAGCTCAACATGACCTGGCAATGCACGCTTGCAGCCCAGAAAGCCAACTGCATCCTGGGCTGCATCCAAAGCAGTGTGAACCAGCAGGTCGAGGGAGGGGATTCTCCCCCTCTACTCCGCTCTGGTGAGACCCCCTTCGGCAGTACTGCCTTCAGCTCTGGGGTCCTCAGCACAAGGAGGACATGGACCTATTGGAACGAGTCCAGAGGAGGCCACGAAGATGATCCGAGGGCTGGAGTACCTCTCCTATGAAGACAGGCTGAGAGGGTTCGGGTTGTTCAGCCTGGAGAAGAGAAGGCTCCAGGGAGATGTTAGAGCATCCTTCCAGTACCTAATGGGGACCTACAAGAAAGCTGGGGAGGGACATTTGACAAGGGCATGGAGTGATAGGACAAGGGGCAATGGCTTTAAACTGGAAGATTTAGATTAGATATAGGCAAGAAATTCTTCATGATGAGGGTGGTGAGGCACTGGAACAGGTTGCCCAGAGAAGCTGTGGATGCCCCATCCCTGGAAGTGTTCAAGACCACGCTGGATGGGGCTTTGAGCAAGGTGGTCTGGTGGAAGGTGTCCCTGCCCCTGGCAGGGGGGTTGGAACTAGATGGACTTTAGGGAAAACGCTTGTTTAACTTCATGTATATCAGAAGAAAGAGGCAGATCTGTGGGCTGCTGCTAATGTCACTGGCAATCAGTTGACCACTGGTCATTTGATGGATTTGAAAATTGTGTGGTTTCTGGTAGTTGCTAGAAATTAATTTGTATAAGCCATACTGAATTTTTTATAGTTTTTGTTACTATCAGAATACAGAACTTTCAGTACATTTTCTTGTATTGTTATCACTGTTTATTGTATCATATTTCAAGTTTCATTTATTTGCTGATACCTGTTTTACAGGTTTTTTTACACACATTCTGTTAGATGAAGCTGCGCAAGCTATGGAGTGCGAAACTATTATGCCTCTAGCATTAGCTAATAAAAACACAAGAATTGTCTTGGCTGGAGACCATATGCAGGTAAGAGCTATAGAATATTTGAATGTAAAGTGTGTGTATATATAATATTTGTATTTATATATTTAAGTTACTTATCTGCTCCAAATTTCTGTGGTATGCGAATACCTCATAATCTCTAACGTAGACTCACAGTATTTCTGCTAAGTGAGAATATGCTGTTGTCTCCATTTTACACTAAGGGAATTGAGGCAAAAAGCATGTGAGTTGTCCAAGGTTACATAGGAAATCTGGGATAGAACAGACTTGGGCCTGCTCAGCCGCTGAACTATATGCAAGGAAAATTTCATTTTAAAGAGGGAGATGCATAATTTTTACCAGCCATATAGTAGATGGGGAAGCCAAGGAAAATTCAAGGGGTATTATTTGCATAAGATATGGGGATAGTTATTATTACAGTCATGGTAGGATTTTCTTCTACTTTTTATGATTGGTATTCCCTGTTGATTTTTGGAAGAATTGAAGAATATAGAGAATGTGTATTATAATTTAGACAACTTTTTTTCTTATTAGAGGCATCATAATCTGGTAAGGATTTGAACAAGTAAGAAATGGGAAACTGAAACTAATCAGTGCCTTTATCTTACTGTGATGTGCCTAGGAATTGCTTTGTTTAAAGAGTTCGGAAGAGTTTAAAACTCAGATTATGCATGTCATTTTGCAGCCTGTAGGCATGAGAAAGCATACTTGAGAAAGTCAGCTTTACTTGCTTTGTTGATTTAGGTCAGATTATTTGTTTTTATAGATTTGCCTTTAATTCTCTTGACATTTCACAATAGCAATAGAGTAGATTTTTCCTTTGGTATAGTAGTAAACTTAGAGTAGTGTTGCCACCAGTGATTTCATGTTACTAGGTCATTTCAAGTCACGATAATAGTAATCCCAAGCATTGGGGTAGTGCTTTTTTAAATACAGATCTCAAAAGTGCTTTTTAAGAGGTTGGAATTCTTACCACTTCAAGCTAGATCACATCAGCCAGCCCAGCTGGATGGCTAGAGACTTGACTTGGCTTGTGTGTCTCAGACTACGTGCGTAAAGAGCTGTTCTATAGCTCAGCTTCTTCCAGAAGCTACTCTGAGGTATCCAGTATTTAAATTTCTAAAACTAATATTTATCTGAAGTGAAACTCCGAATCCGAATTGTATGTATTCATAATGAAAAAATAGATTGGTTTAATTTCTACATTTTAAAATTTTATTTTAAAAATCTTTTTTCATCATCTTTGGTTCTATTTTTCCTGGTGTAATAGATGGTGATTTTATTGTTAAACAAGCCCAGTAGTAGTTTAGTGTAATAGTAACTAGGCCGTTTGGGTTTTAGTTTTTCCAACGACTTTCTATTTAACTTTTTAAAATTGTGTTGCAAAGTTCTGTGTTTTCTGATCTGTACTATTTGTGGTAGTAACTTAACTCTAAAGTGATTGTCAGGGTAACATTGTAATGTATTTCAAAACACAGTTTTGTTTTGGTGAGTTTGGTTTGGTTTTGTTTGGGTGTGTTTTGTTTTGTTTGAAATAACAGCTCTGTGCTTTGAGTTACTCATCTCTGCAAGCCACAAAGAAGAAAACTTGGATATAAAGGTTCTTCTCTTTACATGGTTATTGAATGTTTTATTGTTCCTTTAAGAGCATGCTGGTCTTCTGTCACTTTTACAGTACGATGGGCATTTCTATGGAATAGCCATGGTATATGTGTTCCAACTATGAATGTACAGTAAAAGTAAGGTTTCATTTTTGATGCAAAATACGTATGTTGGGAGCATGAAATTCCAAGTCCACATATTTAGTTACATTTTCTTTGTGTGTGTGTGTCTATTACAGCTCAGTCCTTTTGTCTACAGTGAATTTGCCAGGGAAAGAAACCTTCATGTTTCATTGCTTGATCGGCTCTATGAGCACTACCCGGCAGAATTTCCATGCAGGATCTTGCTGTGTGAGAACTATCGCTCCCATGAAGCTATCATCAAGTAGGTGTGAACTTTTTCACTGTATCATGTGTTTCTTTGACTGGTGTGAGTGAACAAAACAACTCTTGAGCCAAGCACAGCTGAATGAAGAGATGTATTACGGTGTTTCTGTAATGAAATCTTAGTTGTTTCAAAGTTAATTAGTAGAGTAATTTGTTGTTACTAGGTTGAAATACAATCTCCTGGAACAGATGCCAGGGGTTCGGTTAGTTGTATTACAGGCCCCTCATTCACGTGGGGATGCTTTGGCTGCAAAGCTTGCACACTAAGCCAAAGAAGAGCTAACTTTCCATTTTTAAATGTTATGCAATATATTATATAGGATCTGTGTTTCTTTGAACTGTTTCAGAATTTTAGAATTGCTGAGATGGATTATCGTGGAATGGTAATCTGTGTGCAATGTAAGGAACATATGGATATACAAATATGAAGAGAAAAAATAAGTCGAATTTTGGCCATGTTTCTTTCCTGTCGTCTTCTTTTGTTATTTCTTTCAAGCACATTAATCAGTGGGCTTGCATTTTTATGCTATGATAAACTAATGGCTGCAAGTGTAATGAGCTCATCCATGAGCTGTACTAGAAAGAATAAGTGCAATCATGGGGAAAAATGCTAAAGTTTAAATCCTGGCTCAAATATGTACTGAGGAATATTATGTTAGTATCCAGTCATACTAATCAGGTTATCGCTGTGTTCAAAGCAAAAACAGTAGTATTTAAGCGTTCTGGGGAATCAAAAGTGAGACTGTAACATATTTTGTTACACAGCTTGATCTGTCTTCATTTTATGGACTTTATAATTCTAGACTGAGTGATGCTAAAATTCTTACACATTTCTTGAAATTATAAGTTCAAAATGAGAGAGAATCTGAAAAGGAAGTGATCGTTTCAGCTTTTGGTTAGAGATCACTTCCATGAAATTTGTCTCAGATCATGAAAATACACTTCAGCAGTTGGAGTTGAGACAGGGAGTTCCTGGAAAGATCCACTGTGTTGAACATGGAGGTAAGGATTGCAGAAGTACTACTGGGGCTAGTTGGCTGTCTAGTGAAAGTCCAGTGTGCCTAACTCCAATAGGAAGTATTGCTGTGTGAAATGAAAACTGCTAAATACTCTGGTGGTCTGTTTAGGAGATTGTATCAAGGCTACTTTTTTTTTAAAATGCAGAATTTCTCCTGACAAATGGGACCATGGCACTTAAGACAGAAATAAGTGTAGGAAGATGGTTCATGGTGGGCTCATTAATCATACCTATCTAACTCAAGAAAAGAGACCAAAAGAAATTAAGAGCAAGCCATTAGTTCAGCCTGACTTTGGAGCTCTAATTGAAAAAAACAGTCCTTGTAGAAAAGGTGTTTTATTGTTTAATGAGAACTCATTGCTAAGAATTAATTTGCAGAAGAAATTAATTAATTAAAGAAATTAATTTGCTCATTGGCAGCAGTAGACTGCTGCAACTCAATCAGCAGAAGAGTGGCATGTTCTTCAGGATTGTGCAGTGTAAGCCAGTTCTGGTCAGTAGTGGACCACAGTTGTTTGACGATGATTTGGTAGCAGACTAGGTTCTTTAGCTTTTCTGTGACCAGCTATTTGCATCTTAAGCTGCGATAGTTGGAAGCCTGCAAGAACTCCAGGGGCCCGCTGACTGCACAGGCCCCTGCTTTTGAGCATTCAGAAGTTAGATTATACCAGAATTCACTAATTAATGAATGCTAGTAGATTAGCTTAGCTCTATTGTGCATGCAATAGTATACAGTACTTAGAATGCTACCGATAGTAATCTGCAGTCGCTTCTTGCTGGCTTTTTGTCTTGTTGCACTCAGTTTGCTGCCTTCCCTCCTACTTTTCACTATGAAAGTAGTTCTTGCCTCATTTCTTTTTCAGTCAGCCAGCTTCTGTAATGGCTGCTGCCAGCAGAGGAAGTATGTTCTGGTTGTGTTTCTGATGACTAGCAGCATAGATAGACTAGAAGTCACAGAGGAAAAGCTTGCCTGAAAGCTGAACGCTTGTCCTGCATTGTGCTCAGTATGCATGGAATCTTTAGTAAATTTATCTTCCAAGTTCAACAACTCTTAACTGATACAAGCAGGCTCATTGTCCTGCCAGCCTGGGGAATAACCAGTGCCAGACAGCAAGTGTTCCTTTTGCCCAGTTTCAAGCTGCCACAACTTTCGAGTGAAACATTAGTGAGAATGTTCGTGACTTTGTCAAGCTTTAGATAGAAGAAAATACTGCCTTTGTAGGAAAAAGTGTTGGAAGAGCATATTTTTAGTGCCCTCTGCTCCATCTGTAGTGTGGAAATATCAGTTCAGAGAAGTCACTTGAAGATGCAGAGTAGTAATCAGCGGTTCTGTTTTCCTTGTGAAGTATTTTGTGATTGCATATTTTATCAATGAGAGTTGCATATTTTATCAGTGAGCTCATATGTAGACTCCACATTTTATTCTGTTTTGCCTTGTTACAGTTATACATCAGAACTTTTCTATGAAGGCAAATTGATGGCAAGTGGAAAGCAGCCAGCACACAAAGATTTCTACCCTTTGACTTTCTTCACAGCACGTGGAGAAGATGTACAAGAAAAAAATAGTACAGCTTTTTACAATAATGCAGAGGTAACTCTTCTTTGGCTTTGTTCTTGATTGTTTTCTTAAAGCTCTACTCCCCCCAAATTTATTGGTTTATGCTCAGGGTAGGTAGAAGACATAAATTGTCCTCTACTTGGAGAGGGGAACATGGAGTTTGCTAAACATGAAGTAGTGAACACTGCAATTGTAGTAAACGTTTCCACAAATTTATCTTCTTTTTCTCTTTGCAAATTGCAAGCTGCATATAGTTCTCTCAGGCTCATTCTTCAGGATGTCTTTCCTGATAATTCTTGTGACATTCTGATGGATGTATCTTAGCAACTGAGAGTAACTGCAATTTGAAGTAAACCTGAGATTTCTTTGACTGTTGTAGAAATGTTCCCACTCAGTCCTCTGGAGTAGCATTTCATACTTGCTTTAATATGTTTAGGATCAGTGTCTAACTGATCATGTGCAGATGAGATTTTTTTTTTAGGTGAGAACTTACTCTCAATATGCTTGTTTCACACAGATTTATTGGTATTCTTCAAAAATTACTTTCATTCTTGTTCCTTCCCTTGAATTAAAAAAAAAATAAACAAAACTCACAAAACCAAACAAAAAACAAACACACACACCACCTCACCCCCTCGACTTTGTAATACTTTTTGTAGTGGAAGATGCCTCTTTCCAATCACTTCAAGTTAAGGGAGGGTTGACCCAACTCCTTTTTTTTTTCCCCACTAAAAATATGTCATAAGAAATGTCCCTGACATTTAAAGAAAAACGAAGAAAGATCACTAATTTTCTTAAACTTATGAGGAATTTTAACAGAAGTTAGGTGGCGGTTTAGCAGCAGTGTTTGTTATGAAGCACTGCAGAGCTGTCTGTGTTTCCCCTTGTTGATCATGGTGCAGTTCATCTGATGCACAATTTCTAACCTTTTTGTTGTTATTATGTTGCACTTGTTATGCATTCTTTGATGTATTAAAATATCTAATTAAATAAGAAGCTCCAATGAGTTCTGGACACATCACTGAAAAAAAACTGAAGGCACCTGACTACTTTCATTAATCTACTTGGATTGCTTTGCCATTTAAAGAAAGTTGTAAAAAACCTAAAAATATCTTCAGTGGCCAAGTAACTCTCTGAAAATTGTGAGTCATTAGTAGCTACAGGCAGAAATGAAGGACAACGGCTGCTTAAACACCAACATTAAAGACTGAAATTCAGATGACGAGGGAGATTTTTTGCTGTTTGACCCTTAATGGACATTTGCATTGAGACATCTTATGGTTCATTGGTGCCTGTATTAACTATTAACCTGGAAAATATACTTTCTCTTTTTGGTCTTAATTCTAAAATCTCTCTATATGGTGTTAATTCTAAATACATATCCTGAAGCTATATGCTTTCAGAGAAGCTTACCAGAGAATCTGCAAAAGATCGTTGTATTTGTGCTATGTTTTTTATAGATATCAAAGTTTATTCTAATATCCTTTGTTAGTAGAACTAGTTCTTAAATGCAAGAATTTATGTTGCAAAAAGTTATATTCAGGACTTGTTCAAAACCAACCACATATATTCACTGGTCTCTGAAAATTTGAAGTTATCAAAAATAAACGATTTGTGACTTTTTGAGGCTTAATAGATCTTTTTTTGCTGTATTAGTTTCCTCCTGATTTTTTTTTAAATTCCTGAGTTTTTCAATAAACTGTTCGGTTTAGATTTATTTTTTAAAAATAAATACTTAAATGAGAACGTGTGTCATATCTAAGATCTGCTTATGCTAAAAACTCAGCATGAAACAACATACTTTTAGCAGTTAGAAACTACTATGGTTTATACTATTTTACATACCCATTGTGATTTGTACCACTTTTCACATTCCTGAAATGTCCATAGAAGTCCCTAGAATTCCCACTTACCAGTTTGAAGAAGAGATAATATAAAAGCTTAAGAGCATTAAGTTTATTTTTAACACCCCTTTCCCACAGCCAAAGATAACTGGATGAATAGGGAAGAGAAAAAAGTTAAGAATACTTAAGGTTCATGTAGGAAAGACTATCTGCCTAGCTTCCATTACGAGGCTGAGCTTGCATTTGTGATGCTATGGGAAAACTGCATTCATCAGTTATCATGCTTTAAATAGCTGGATAAATATTTATTGAATGACATACTGGCATTTTTTGAATGACGTATTGAATGTAAATGTTAAAAAAAAAAAAAAAAAAAAGGGGCAGGGGAACCACAAACCTTCCATAAAGTTGTTCGGAAATACCTTCTATAGTGCAGTTTCTCTGTTCAGTGTGTTGAAACAGAAGCTGCTATGCCTGGTGATTTTTACAGGAGGTCACTTTGAGCCTATCTCATCACAGGAGGAGGTTTTCAGTTTTTATTACTCATTACTTTTCTCAGGTAGCCCACTTAATAGTATTTCATAGAGATGAACTAGCTGTTGATGAATAATCTGAAACTCCTGATGATATCCTTTGGAATGGGAAGTGATTGTGCTCTGGTATACATATTCTCTTTCTAGAGTTATCAAACTCTAATATGACGTATGTAAAATCCTGAATAAAAATAAAATAATCCCTATTTAGGCAATATATTTACTTTTGCAAATTAGATAAAGTACGATAAGAAAGGTCCTACTGCACTTGACATTTCTGTAAGAACATAAGCATGAAAATTAAAATTATTAACATAACTTCCAAGCTTGTACTTTAAAGGTGACGTTTTTGTGGGCAAGCTTTTATTTCCAGATTAAAAAAAGGTACTTTATAGTAAATACAATGTTTTAATACATGATATTTTAGAATATTACTGTAGAATGCAATAGTAGTATTGCTTGTTCAGTAAGGCTATATAATACTGTGTCGTGTAAGTGTTTTAGAGCTTTAAAATTCAAACTCTCTTTCCATATCAGAGAATGATCTTCAGTGGAGCATACTTTTAAGAATTCTGACTTTCTTTTAAGGTGTTTGAAGTAGTAGAGCGTGTTGAAGAATTAAGAAGAAAATGGCCTGTTGCCTGGGGCAAATTGGATGATGGCAGTATAGGTGTCGTAACACCTTATGCGGATCAAGTGTTTAGAATTCGGGCTGAGCTTCGGAAGAAAAGACTGTCTGATGTCAGTGTAGAGAGAGTGCTAAATGTTCAGGGTAAGTAATAGTTACATGTCTCAAAGATATGCTAAGGAAGTGAAAAATGTGACTGGTGAAGTTACGTAAGACTTACTAAAATAATCTTAAAATGGTCATAACAAAAGGAGAGCTGTGATACAGCCCATAAAAACCAAAATGAAGCTAGCAAATATGCTGCTGATTAGATGTTATTCCAACATTGAATACCAATGCAATAAACTCATGGATGTGAGATTTATCTTCTTTCAAAATTGAGTTCAAACTTACTTAAAAAATGAATTGATTCAGTGAAAAATGTGAAAACGGATGGATTTTCATCTTAAGGGGAAAAACAGTTGAAATAAAAATGTAACAAGGCTTTAGCCTCAATGTTTTACTGATTTTTTTATTTTTATTTTTATTTGTTGAATAGACTGTAAAAAGGGGTCCACAAATTTTAGGTATTTGTTCCTGGAATCACATTGATAACAAGAATTTTGTGTAGGCATAGACTGTTGCTAGGTTGCACTTTCAGTCAGTAATGAACAAAGGAAGATAATAAAGTAACTGAGTGACAGTGAGTGGTGTGTTCTGGTTTTTCATGGTAGATATTCGTATATTTGAGAGATTTTTAAATCTGAAACAAGAAAGTCCAGAACTACTTTTTTTTAAGGTAGAATAAATAAATCTAAGATATGTTATTGGCTGATTGGCAACATTGTAAAGATAATTAGCATTTTAGAAAGTTCTGGAGTGATTCATATCAGGATGAAAAATAAGTTTTTTACAGAGGAAATATTCTTGTAATAGGATATGCTATTTATAGTGCATCTTTTAAAAATTTTAAATCTTATTATTCTTGCATAAAGCTCTTCGTGTGAAGGGTAGCTATCAGTTCTTCAGAATATCTAGGTGTGAAATCTGGCTGGCAAGTACAGTGGTCTGATTGTGTTACTAGCAGAAATAGCTACAATTATCTCAGACATTTGTTTTTTGTTTCATTTTAGGAAAACAGTTTAGAGTTTTGTTTCTGAGCACAGTACGAACACGGCATACATGCAAACATAAGCAAACACCAATTAAAAGGAAAGAGCAGTTACTGGAGGATTCAACAGAAGACTTGGATTATGGTTTTCTGTCTAATTACAAACTTCTCAACACTGCCATTACAAGAGCACAATCCTTGGTAGCTGTGGTGGGAGATCCTATTGCTTTATGTTCCATTGGAAGATGCAGGTACTTCGTGTATGTTCCTTAGTCAATCAGGGCTAAGGATACTAGAAAACGTATTTATCTGTGACTGATGGGTTTTGTAAAATGATGGATGTTCTTTTAGGTGCCAAATAAGACACAATAGATTTAAACGCTTAAAATAATGGTATAATGAAATTGAAATTCTTCGTGTGTATGCGTAGAAATACCAAAAAGATGGTAAAGCATTAGTTGTGTTCTGAGCTCTTGCTGAGGCTTGAATCTGCTATGATGCCATCTACCAAAGCTCCTGTGGAGCTGGAAGCATGCAGCTGTGCAAGGGCTGCTCTGTCCCCTGGTTAGTAAGGCTTGCTGACAGGGAACAGGGGACCCTTTTTTTTTTTTCCCCCCCCTTCTTTTCCCCCAATGCTAGTGAAGAAAACCACTACAGATGAGAGGGAGAGCATTTTAATATCCTCTATGAGTGAAGAAGTCTGGCTTTTTTGTTAGTTTTTTTGTTTTGTTCTGATTTTGCCTTCTTATCCAGTGTCATGGTGTCATCATGTATAACAGCCTACAGAGAAAAAGTGAGACATCTACCACCTGGTCATTGATAAACTTTTTAAATGTATTTATAGTTGCTCTAATTTTTACTTGACAGTAACAATTGAAGATGCTTAATTTTATTTTCTAGTGGGGGTTTTTTGGTATACCTTATAATTTTACACGTAAATAAAAATAATATATAATTTGGAGTTAAAAATTGTGATGTAATGTAGTATTTTAAAGTTGAATATTAAGGCAGTCTTATGAAGGTAGAAGACTTGAAAACCATTATTTATGTTTTTATATGTCTTCATGACACTAGGAAAAAACTTGTTAAGATTTGAGTGAATTTACTTTTTATAGACCTAAATGAAGAAATGAGAAAAAAGCTGAGAGATGTAAACACTGATTTTAAGGATACTGAGTTCTTGTTCTTCAAAAATTTCTTTTTCGATGGAAGAGCTGAAATTTTGAGATGATCAGAGAGAAACCCTGAGGCTTATTTCTCGAAGAGAGGAAACAGTGCACTGACTACATTATTAAAATAAAGCTAAAAATACGTATTAGTCAGTTGTTACATCTGTGTTGTGTTCTACTTTCCTGAGCAGTATTCTTCTACTGTATTGAAGATGGATGTGGTTTTCAAAGATTAGAATTGAAAACCCCAAATGGAAACCAAACCTTTGTTTACTGCATTACAAAATATAACCTGAATTTAACCACTTATCTGCTGGCTACCCGTCAAGAGTGTCTGTACACTAATACAGTGATCTGCTCTAAACTGCTAATAACATCTTATTAAAAGAGAAATAATGGTTGTGGGTTTATTTCACTTTTCCCATTACCTGCTTGGTATTTTTTAGACATGGTCTGGTTTATGAAACTAATTGATGAGAGCACTCTGTGCCTCCTGAGCACTTGATCCACAAATGATGAGTGTCTCTAACAGTCTGCTCGTGCAGTCTCTAGTTCATCAACTTAGGCTGCAGAGATACTTAGCTGCAGAGGCTGCCATGCTATGCTGACTGAGATTTCTCTTGCCGTTTGTTCAGAAATTACTCTTATTTGATAAATTTTGCTTCGTCTTCCCTAAATTGGGGTCCAGGATGTGCAGTGTTACGTAAGTCAGAGTTGGTTAATCCCTAGTTAGCCTAGCTAGCACCTAGGACCATTATCGGTTCTCTAACCATCTGTCTAAATACAGCTTTTGTTGGAGAATGACCATGTGTCTTATTCTCTCTAAATTCCAGTGAGAAAGATCATCTGTTGAATTTTCACATAAGCCTGAGTGTTGAGGTTTTAAATTACGATACCCAAAGGGGACCCGGTTTTCAAACGGGGGGACTCAGCAGTTTCTCCAAGTATGGCTCCTTCAAAATATCTGAAATAGAGCATGCAAAAACTTAACTAAAATAAAAGTATAGGCTATGAGCATGGTACATAAGTTACAGTCTTGGCAGTTAAGGAATGCGTTTGTCTTTTGAAGACCAGCAGCTGTTTATATATGTATAGCTGTTCAAAATTATAAAACAAAAAGATAATTAAGAAACAAGGAGCACAGGAGCTTTATTGAGATGTATCTCAAGCCTTTCCCTTTAATACACCATTGTCTTGTTTCACTGAATAATTGAACATTCACTCTTTGAAAATAATGCTGGAGGGGCTCAGGCATGCTGCTTGAAAGATGGTTCTTTTTTAGTACAACAGGAGTATAGAAGTCTGAAAAGTGACATTTCGTTAGGAAAAACAGACCTCAAAAAAAGTTTAGAGAGTACTTGAATTTTATAAATATTCTAATACCTGTCAAAATGAGTCAAGACTCTGTAACGATAGTTGTAGAGAGCTTTGTGAAGTATGCCCGGGGTAATCATTACATTTCTGTGTGTTAGTATCAGACTAGACAGGGCTGTTTTGGCAGACACTCCCTTTAAACTCCAGAGCACACTGTAAGACCGAGACAGCAGTATTTTATTCTCTGTTCTTACACCCCAGTACAAGTGTTCCATGTGTAGCGAGACTGCTTGGGGCATTTTAAGCAAAAGTAGATGGGACTCAGTGGATTTGAGGTACTTGGCAGTAGGTTTGGTGACTGAATTGATTAATCAGAGGGAGTTCTATCATTAGAGCATCCCAGTGAATTATTTAATTTTGGATTATAATCCTCACTTAAAACCTTGCAAGAAATATTTGCCTTACAGTGAAATGCAGAAAAAGGGCCATCTTGCATCCTGAATTTGAAAAGATCATTTCTCGACTCTGTAAAAATCACAACAGAAGATGGGCTTTTAGAGGAAACTATTTTGAATTCTTAAATACATCAGTAAATTTAAAGTATTCTTCCAAGGAAGACATTTATTCTTTTCCACAAAGCCAGCTACTCAGCAAAATGTGACACTGCTGTTAAAATTAGTGTTCAGTAATGTCTCACTTTACAGGTTTTGGGGAAATAACAATGCTTGCATATAGGCCAGACCTTATTACTGAAGGGAGAACTAGAGTGACTTATAGTCAAGCACACCTTTAAGATCATTGTCTTTTTAATACTCTTTTTCAATAACTTTCATTACTCTTGATTTTTTTGAAAGAGAACAGCTCAATTGTTTTTGTTTTGTTTTGTTTTCTCTTTTAAAGTGACATCTTCAGGCCTGATTTAAATATCTTTTAAACTTAAGTATCTTGACTCAAAAAGTTCCTTTGAGGTTTAAAAAAAAAAAATTTGTAAATTTTTTGTGTAATCCTGCTGTGTATGTTAAAAATGTAAAGACTTTTTAAATAAGCAATAGAAAGACATGTCATGAGAAGCAGAAGACACTTAGAGTGTTCTTTTATTTTACATGGTTTAAATAACCCTTCCACCCTCCAAAAAGCTAGGTACAGAATTTACATAAAGTCACCTGTCATCTGATGGTTGTCTTTCTGGCTTGAAATTTCTTCTATATGTTACAGAAATATCTGACACACAATAAAATTTATGGTTTTATTTGTTTTCCACCAGAGGATCTCAAAGGCCCTCTAGATATTCCTGACATGTTAATCTCCACGTGACTCTGAAGTGTTTCACAAGAGTAGTTTTTAGGGTATATCGCAACTTTGGTATTTGTGACGCTGGAATTGAATGATCTGCCTAAATTCATGGAATCTTTTTGGCATCTTTTGGGGCTGAGAATCTATATAATCCCTGTGACTCTTTGACCTTTAATAAATTCCATAAATCACATGCTTTCCAGAATTTTAAGGATTGTGTTCACTGTGTTTGGTTTTCTAGGAAAAAATTCCAAGTTAGACCTGTCCGTGACCTTAATGTTAAATGTGATACACAGCCAGTGCTGTGATCTGATATGCATGGACAGACTTGTATGTCCATTTTAAATGACTGGGGAGCTTTGCATTATGCTGTGGGGTTCAGATGCGTCGATCAGATTACAGGATGGATGGCTTGGTGTGTAAAATGAGCATACACAAAAAAATAAAAATGTCACACAGTTATATTAAATCTGTTTTAATTTTGATAACAGCCATCGAGTCTTACTCCTTCTTATTGTTTCTAAAAATTGTTTCCGTAGGAAATTTTGGGAAAGGTTTATTGCCCTATGTCACGAGAATGAAAGTCTCCACGGTATCACATTTGAACAGATCAAAGCTCAATTGGAAGCTTTGGAGTTAAAGAAAACTTATGTGTTGAACCCACTGGCTCCTGAGTTTATCCCCCGAGCTCTTCGGCATCAACATTCAGCAAATACCACCAAACAACAGCAGTCACCACCAAAGGTAAAGTTTTACTGATGATGAATTTTGTCAGAAACTGAAAGTGAATGTAGAAATGCCTTTTGAGAAATGATATAAAATGTTTAAGGAACAAGCTGTTTGTTTTAAAATCCCATCAATGCAATCAGATATGAATGCAAATTCCAGAGGGATCCTCATCATTTTCAAGTGAAAGCTCTACGTTTGTATTATAATACAGTATTTAGCAATATAGCTTGGGGATGTCCAAGCCTTATTTCCTTACTAAAATGCATCCCTTGGGTCACTCTGTTGCGTTCATTGACTGTGTTGCAATGACCCTGATGAACTTCAACCGTGGATCTTGGCCTCAGTATTTAGATAAGCCAAATTAAACCCTCTGAACAAGAGACAATCCCTATCCCAAGCACCTTGTGCTCTGACTGTACCCCAAGAAACAGCATGGTGAAATAGACAGTTGCAAGGAGTACAAGGAAACAATAAACTAAAAACCAAAAGTGATTTGGTTTGCTCTAAAAATCACATTTAAAATTCAGGGACTTATGTAAGATAATTGTTTGATTTAACTAAAAGTATGTTGTAAAACAGTATGTTGCCTAGATTAACTCGCTGATAACATCCTTCAGAAGACCAAATTTCATTAGCATCAAGAGGGCAGAGAGATGAAATTACCACTCAGCAGTAATTTTATCAGCTGTTTTTATAAAAACAGGTAAAGAAGCTATGAAAATACATAGCTTCCTTAGGATGATAAAGAATAAATTTTAGAGCTTTTTTGGGGGAGATTATATATTAGTAATTAATTCTATTTGAATAGTTCTTTGTAGTTTATTTCAAAATCATTTGAGTTATAATTTAATTAAATTGTGTTTAGAGGTGCAACTAAGATGCAGGTTGTCAGTTTTGTGATGAATTCTGTTGTACAGGAAGGAAGAAACATACGTATTTTCCATAGCTTTGCATTTTTGTTGCAGGCTGTATCATTTAAATGAAACTTTTATGACAGTTTTTTTGACTTTTAACAGTACAAAAAAGAAAGCCTTCCCTTTGGCAGTCCTTCCCAAAAGAGAGTTTGTAAGTGAGAATGTTTGGTTTGTTCATCAGGATGTATTACTTTCTGAAACAAACACCAGATTTCTAAAGCGTCTAGTCATGAGTCAAAACACCAGGCTTACAGAAAACTGTAAATTAAAAAATTATTATCTTTAAAAAGTCATTGCTGCACTTTCATTTTTCATGAGTCCTTCAGCATTGAATGCGTTTTCTTTGATAATAGAACATTACTATTAATTTTTTTGTTTGTTTGTTTCCTAAAATAAAAGTAAAGTATTTCAAAATGCAGGTGTAGTACATTTAAAAAAAAAACAAGGGGGGGAAGGGTTGGAGGAAGTGAGAGTCTTGTGAATAGAGTGCTGTTTATTTATTTTTCTTCCTTCCAGTTTGTTAGTAAACGAAGCGCTTGTGCTGTAGAAATCAGAAGAAACACTTCCGAACTGCCAGCACTGTATTTTCAGCTTAGGATCTGAAGTCTTTAAACCACCTGTATCATAATTATAATAAAATCTCTTCCCTCTGAATACAATTGACAGCTAGCATGTGCAGAACAGAAGTAAAGTGAGCAGATAACACACAGAGAAAATGGCTGTGATAAATGATACATTTCCTTTTACTCAAGTTTTAAAAGCAGATGGTTAACTTTGCTTATTTTAGACCTCCTAAATACAATATTTAACATTAAAAGATGAAAGATTAAAAACCTAGTGCTGGTGTATTTTGTAGTGAAAAATGAGAACAGCCTCCAATACAGTGTTTTGTGGTGAGTTTATGGACAGTCACACAGTTCAGGGCTTGTTTTTCACATGCAGTGAAAAGTGATTTTGTAAAAACGGCACCTTCTTATTCAGCAGAATTGCTCTTGGATTTATGTAAGGACATTCAAAACCTGTTTGCTGTTTATTTTCTAAAGAAGAAAAAAAGTTTCAGTCCTGTCTGTCTGAGAAGCAAACAACTAATACAGAACTGGCTACCTGTGGGCTGCTGCTCTTCGTGGCAGCCCTGTCTGTGAGGGCATCTGTCTTCACCTGCGTTTGTGTGGCTTGGCTGGGGACGGTGGAATTGTGGAAGGAACAGCAGAGTTGGATAGGCACAGCCTTTATTAAAGGTGATGATGTGGAAATGGAAAGTTTTCAGAACTTGGAGCTTCCCGCAGGGTAGTTAGTGTACAGTAAATTAGGCGCTGAATTTTACAACTCTGCCTACCTTCCACTCACTGCCAGTGCTCCAGCTTTTCGACCTGGATTCAGGCACTTAATCGGGATGCGTCATTGTCCTAGACATTTTAAACAGTCAGTAAGGACCACAGGTCTGATTAAGGCTCTGGAGAATACTCTCTTCTCCTGTCTCTTGACTAAAGGAGGATCCTAGGAGTGACGAGGCTGATGCCTGCCTGAAGTCAACTAAGTCTTGGTCCTAGTCCTCTATGTAATGTGGATTTTTAAACTGTGAAGGTGGAGCAAGTTTTTGGAAGAAATTGAGTGTATCTGTGCTGGAGTGCTCTCAATTGCCAGCAGTTAAAGTGTAGGTTTAGGTATTTTGTAGATATGAAGGGAAATGAACCTTGATGTGGAAATCTTTGAGAAACAATAATGGTTAAGTTAATAATAGACTGTTATAAAATCATTAAGCCATCAAAACTATTAAAAGGAAAAGACAAAAGAAAGCCAGAACCTCCCTTCCCCAGCTTACAAACGGCCCCAGTTGACTTATATTTACCAATCTGATACTGTTAGCTGAAGCTCCTTTTCAACAGGACAGCTATTCTTACAAATTTATGTAATTATTTGCTATTTCAGTTTTAAAAATATTGCACCTATAAAATACAAGTATGGTAGGTAGAACAGAGACTTGTTAGACTTCTGCACATACAGCTTGACACTGACAGCGTAACAAATACAGAAATGCCTTGTACTAACCATGAGTGATTAAGGCATGTAGCTCCTCTACATTTTTAGGTTGAATTTTGCTCTCTTTAGTGAATAAACAGGTTTCTTTTAAGTACTGCAATGAAAAGCAATTATTATTTTATTTTTTAATAATTCATTTTTAAAATGAGGGGAAAATTCAGAGACCAGTTCTTTAATCTGGTTTATGCATGAGTCAACATTGTCAAACAACCTGTCTTTATACCCTGAGTAATTTGCTCAGACTGCTGGAAAACTGCCTAGACTTATTTCCTGGGCAACAGAAGTTTTGCAGCATCAAAGGGGTTTTAGATTTATTTTAAATTTGTGAATGTACTTAGGTCCAGATTAAGTTAGATATTCCTATCCTGCAAAAGACTTAAGAGCATACCGGCATTTGAGTATGTTCTCACAATTCATGAATATTAACTAGTTGATGCTGTAAACTCTTAAGCATGTAGGAGGGATAACTCAGTTCTGTTAACATCCCTTTCTAATGTACAGTTCACCAGGGAAAAAACAGTTTCCCCGGAGTATTCTGTTTCTTGACTCTGCTGTATTGTACTTTTGGGGGAGCAGTCTCAAAGGGGCCAAAGTTCACAAGCAGATACATGAGATGGAGTAGGGAGGCAATGTCTAATGAAGCTGAGTGAGCAGTTGAGTGAAACCGGTGGCAGCTACTTTGTCTCCAAGGTTCTTGAGCTGAAACCTGGAGAAGAAAATTGATCGTGCTGCCACAGAAGAGGAGTACTGAGGGTTACGTTAGTACTGTGTGCTGCTTGTAAAAGAAGTGAGACAGCGGGAAATAAAATGGTGAGAAAGGAAACTCAAAGTAGCTTGTTGTAACTCTCCTGTCATCTGAAAACAGACCTTGGGAGAGAGTATCCCCAGAGGGACTGGTAGTGATCCACTGGTTAATTGAACTAGTGGTATTTAATGTCCAGCTTCATGAATTCATAGTCAGGTGATGGAACTGGACAGTTGAATGTGTAAGATTAAAATGTTGGGCTAACTTCTTTCAAGCTTTATTTTGTATTGAATTATGATGTTCACTTGAAATAAAAAGCTTTGATTTATGTAAGAATGCAAAGCATTACTATTATTGTTTTTTCCTTTAAAGGGCAAGGTGCATCATCATAACCAGAATGACCATTTCCCACCTGATGGAATTGGTAAGTATCTCTGCTGTTACTGAAGGAATTTCTCTGAGCTGACACTGATTTGGCTTCAGTGAAGTTGATAGTAATTTGACGTATATTGAGTATCTGGTTTCTTCTCTATTTGAAAAGCCATTTACTTCTTGTGTGCATTTGGGAAACATATTGTAGACTGTTAAGTGGACATTAGGTATTTCCAAGGCTATCCCTTTATAGGTGTTGTGCACGCTGACTTTAGAGCCTCAACACAGCATAGTTGTTGGCCTCTTAAAAATGGCTGTGTTTGAAATTCATAGTGTAAAATACTGTACCAGTGTATTTGCACTAAAAGAGTTAAGACATTACATTGCATGCACTGTTTTATGATGTACTTCAAACTTAAATTGTGCTGTTATATATCCAGGTATTACTGATCTTACTTTTGCAAGGTAGCATGCAACAGCATAATAATTTTGTTATGAATTTGGAAAAGCATTAATTTAAAGCTTGTCTTCCCTGCTAAAGAAAGGAGGATGATTCTAGTTTTTCATGCACTGTTTAACAGCTGCTCTGGCTGTCAGCGTATTTAATTGGTTTGGGACATTCTTTCATTAATGCAGTTACCAGCTACCTGTTTCTCTATATTGCAACTTGTATTTTCTGCCTCTTCAAATTTTTGAAATGGGATACAGGATTCGATTAATGCTTTCTCTTGGTGTATCAGACCTATGCTGTTAGAGAGTTGCACACATGCTTTATAAAGGCAGATGCTATTAGGATTTAAAAAAAAAAAAAGAGTTAGTCTTCATATTCTTTTGTGTATATATCTTCTTTTTTTGTATGTGGATATATTTTTTTTTCCCTCTTTTTTTCAGTTCAGCCCAATCCTTCTGTTCTAATTGGAAATCCTATCCGAGCATATACTCCTCCCCCTCCTCCTCTGGGACCTCATCCCAATCTGGGGAAGTCTCCAAGTCCTGTTCAAAGGATAGATCCACACACTGGGACAAGTATTCTATATGTACCTGCTGTCTATGGAGGAAATATGGTCATGTCTGTGCCTTTGCCTGTAAGAATTAATTTTCTGTTTTATTTTCCCTTCTCAATTATTGTATGTACAAAAAAGAATGGCAAATCAGTTAGTGAATATTTTGCACGTTTTTTCAGCACTTTACTTCAAATATGTGGGCTTAGCTGGCTTTAGGAGTGGCTGTGTGGAGGACCACCGGAAAGGAGGACTTAAAAGCATTGCTTCCACAAATAACTCCAGGCAGCCTAAAAGCAATTTCCTGTTCATGTAATTTGGTATATTTTCACAGCTCTAGGTTTAGGCACACCAGTGGAATCTGTGTCATCTGACTTGAGATACCTGCATCTGAACTAATTGCCTAATTCAGTTCTTAATCATTGGAGAGACATAGGTGGTTCAGATGGAGCTTGTTTCTTTTTATTGGCTTCATACAGTTTAAAGTACCAGCTTTGGATGTCTGCAGTGCAAGGTGTCTGAAGTGAAGTGATAAGAAGAATAAGCATAATGGGACATTTTCCCCTTCTGGAACCTCATAGTGAACCAGTTTCCTCTCCAATCCCTTTCCTTAATGGCATTTGAGAATACAATGAAGATCCCTAATCAGGTCTTTTAGGCTATATTTATGTATGGAATTTTGCATTAGAAATAAAACTATACCAATATTTACACAAATTAAAGGAGGAGTCTCTGCTTTATATCTAACCTTCATAGTCACATATTCCAGGAGGAAAATGGGGAGGAAAGAACAAAGGCTGCGGAAGTGATGTTGTAGGTGATGTACACAACTCCTGAAGGCTGTGGGAAGGACATGGAACCCACACATGCAGATGTGTTTAATTCCATTCATAATCTAAATGTTGGCATACAGTTAATTTGGTTTTTAGTAATTATGAGTCCTCTATTGTAATTTATGTTATGGATGCTGTATAGGGGACTTGTGGTAGGAACTCTAGTTTCAGTTGTATGTCTTAAATCACCTGACAGCTATACATTGGCTTTCTTTGCTAGGCCAAGGAATTTTCTTTTTTCCTAGCTTACTAGGAATCTGCATTTGATGGATAAATTTAAATGCAGTGAGAAGGCCAGCAGCTGTATCTTTGTCATGCTTACTCACATTATATTAATATCAAACCAAGGTAATTAAAAGTTCTGTCTTATTGTTCCAAGGTTAATATATTTTTATGTATTTCCAATCAAAAGAAATATATTAAAAATAAGTATTTTGAACTCACCTTCCCTGAGGATGGATTTTTAAATAATCAAGTGGGAAGACTGAGGTAATAATGAGACAGCTACTTTTAAAAAGAAGCTTGTTGGAGATGATTTGAGATTGTACAGATGCAATAGTAGCCTAAAGCTAAAGTTCAAAGTGCACATTTCAAGGGCAAATACTGATTTAAAAAAAAATTGCATGGAAGTTTTTACTCTTCAAACAAGTAGGGAGTGAAGTAAAATGTGTTTACATTCATGTAAGATAAAATGGTGTCTTTGCTTTGTTTAAGGCAGTTTCCATATCCGAGGTAAAAACATGAGGAGGTTGTCTGCTGTCATCATTAAAGGATGCTTTGTCAGCCTGAGAGTTGATTACTTTCCCTGCACTCTCCTCTTATTCATACATTTTCCTCCTTTTAATAAATTCCCTAGAGGGGTGAGATTGAACTAATTTGATCCAGAGCTGTCTTCCTTTGCGTTCCTTTTAGGAATAAACTTTAAAATGTTGTAAAAATTCCTGACTTTTTTACATGCTTTCAGGAGGTGGATTTTACTTCAGATATTTAGGAAGATGATCTGCAATACATGTGTCATGTAGCATAGACACTTTGGAGTGGCCCTGTCATTCTTACAATACAGATAGTCTCTTGATTCTACCGATAGTAGTGTAGTGGGTGCAGAGGTATGGTATGCCTGCTCATTCTGTGTTACAAGATTACAACACTGGGTGGTAAAAGGACCATAAAGAATTCCTCAGGTTAGAGGCTTCTCTCTGTGTTTCCCCCCTGAGACATAGCTTCATGTCTGTTTTAACTACCAGGAGAAAGGGCTTTTTATTTCCTTGAACTTCATCCACTTCTATTTGTTTAGAGAAGATACTAATACAAAGTTTATTAAAATACAATTTGCCCATCAGTCTTTTATCTCTGAATTTTGAAACCAGTGAAACAAGAACAGGTTTTGATACAAATTTTTTTGCCCAGGGTAGTCCTCCAAAATCTCTGCTCTTTGCCTCTTGCTGCTAGACCTTCCCTTATTGCTCTCCCTTTCTAGCCCCACCTGTAGTGGTGTGTTGGTGTGTCAGGTCATCTGGTGCATGGAAAACTGCTTGTTACTGACCTAGTATCAGCAGGCTTGTTACTTTACTTCCTTTAATGTAACTTAACAGATTGCCTTTTTTTTTTTTTTTAATTATGTAGGTACCATGGACGGGGTATCAGGGTAGGTTTGCAGTTGACCCTCGAATCATTACTCATCAAGCAGCTATGGCATATAATATGAACCTGTTACAGGCACATGGGCGTGGGTCTCCTATACCTTATGGCCTAGGACATCATTCACCAGTTGGCATAGGACAACAGCAGCAGCTTCAGCATCAAGACAAGGAGCAACATGAACAAAGTAGAAACGGTTAGTTGTTGGAATTGCATTGCAAATTAGTTTTGTTTTGAGGGAGTTAGTACTTTAAATAGGGTATTGTGGAAAGGATTTTTTTCTTTCTTTCTCTTAAGTGAGGTCGCGGGATCTACAGAGTTGGGGAAATAACTTGTGATTTGCTATTACAAATCAAATAACTAAGATATTGTGAGATTCGGAGGAGGAAATAATCAAAGTTGGGGGGGAGTGTTGAGGGTGTAATTGGTCTGTCTCTCTTCTGCAGTCCAGAGGTAACTACTGCTGAAGTTATTTGCAATTGAGTTGGAAGAACTATGTAGTGATGATTGATGAAGAAAGTGCAGAGATTAAAGGAAAAGTGTTATTTGGGTAAATTATATTAAATAAATAATCACTTTTCCATTGAAGCTAATGAATTTCTTAAATGTTTTTAGGTAAAAATGAAAACAGTGCTGGACCTGAAATTAGTAAAATTCGAACACCTGAGAAGAAACCTCTGGAATCCAAGCAGGTGGGTTTGTCTTGTTTGGGTTTGTGGTTTGGTTTGGTTTTGGTTTTTAATATTCTATCTTTCAGTGAATTTATTCATTACTGACATGTTTTTGTTTCCTTTTTTTTTAATGTGAATTTTCAAAGTTTTAAATTCTCTTTTTTTAGGTTGACTTAGAAGTGAATTCTCAGAATAGAAGCCCAGAATCACGTTCCAGTGTTGGTTATCCTAATGCAAAATTTCATCGCAAAGATAATCTTAACCCCAGGCAGCTGAATCTACATCTAACCCCACCCCACTCACAGTATGCAGTTCCCAATCGCCACTTCCAGCACCTGCCACAGATACCAAGGCAGCCTTATCCTCTGCAACAGCAGCAAAACCTTTTAAGTCAACAACAAAATCATTTGCCTGAGCAACAAAACCAAATGCCACCCCAGCAAAGCCAGGTAGTTCAGCAGCATAATCATTTGAATCAGCAGCCTCCACAACCTTCGCAGCTTTCCCCTGCTTACCAGGCAGGCCCCAGCCAATCCTTTTTTAATAATCCAATTCCCCACCGACCACATTCTCCTGCTGTAGATGCTGTGATTTCAGAACACCCCCCCCCACCTATGTTACAAGAAGTCAGTAATCCTTTGAGGCCTATTGCACAGCACAACCCTCTTCTGCCAACCCACTTGAACAACTTCATTGAAGAGAATCCATCAGGAAAGGGACACTTTAGGTAGGTGACTTTTCTTTATTTAAATTCAGAGTGTGCAATTATAACTACACTGAAGTGAAAATGAAGGAGGTATTTACCTTTTCAGGCATATTGCTCTGAATTGGGTCATTGTTGGGTTAGTTTCCATAAGTAATGTCATTGAGCATAATTTGCTGCTTGAGGCATGTTTGAATATTCAGCACTTTATTAGAAGATTCATGTTTATATGATTTTCCATATGATTTAAATTACAAGGTTATACACTGCAATGCAGTTAGTATATAATAGGCCCTGGAATATACTGTATAAAATAGTATTCTTTTTTTTCTGACATAAAGATCTTTAAAAAGGGGCATTAGATAAATTTTTTTTTTAAAACTATTTTTATAGATCGTATGCATGGAAATGTAGCTTTGGAAACAATAAGGCAGCAACAACAAGCCAGGTTACAGCAATGGAATGAACATAATGCCTATCTCAGTCAAGGCACTATTCCATATCAACACCATCACCATCCTCATCTACCACATCTTCCTCAGCAACCAATTGGATTGCATCAACAGCAGCAAGTTAGGGCAAACTGGAAACTTGCCAGTAATACAGAAGATGAAACAGAGGCAACATATTCAAGGTATTTGTTTACTGAGTCATCAGAGCTTGTATAAAATTGAGCAGTGGGCACCTATCTGTAACACTGTGATCAAGTGCAAGACACTTAAAGGTATTGCTTTTTGCTGCTGTTACTATGAAGGTTAAAATAGTTGGCAGGCTGACTTAGAACTGCTTTTATTGTGTGTTATGCTTTATTCTGTTAGTATATTGGATAGTAAAGCTGTAGTGGAAAAAATACTTTTATGGAGCTTTTCAGTTCTGTGTTTATGGAATAAGGAATGGATAGAGAGTAACAACCTTCTGTGTATAAAAGAGGTGTCTGAGTGTAGTGAAGGCCTATTTGAGTTGTAAATTTTTCAAATTGAATGAGCAGTCTCAGATTAATGTGCTTGAAAAGAAACAAACCAACCCCTCCCCAAACACTGCTCCCCAATAAAACCTAAACTTTTTTTCTTTTTCAAAAAGCCTTTGCTTTTAAAAGCAGATAAAAAAAATGCTTATATTTGACATGGAGCATTAGGGGGCAAGAAAGGAAGCTGTTGAACATAAACAGAAAAATGGTTCCAGTGGTCATCCGCTTTAATCACATATATTGTAAAGGCTGGATTTTTAAATTGCCTCTGTTTACTGTCATCTCCCACTATGCTTTATTTTCCATCTGGTTTATTATAGCCATGGTAAAGCATCTAAATGCTGTCTTATCTACTCTGTGAAGTGCTGAATCGAGTATTTTTGACCTTTTGAAGAAGTTTGGAAGTATATTGTGCAAGTGAGGGGAATCCCTGATTGTTTTAGGTTTTGCCTTATAAGGGGTTAAAATGTTCTTTAACTATGTGAAGTTTTTTACTTTGTATAATAAAGCAGGAAATCCTTGCCTTAGTTGTCTCTTAAGCAATAACAAAAAATTGATTCTTCTGACTGAAAAGGAAATCTCAAGAGTTATTAAAACTTTGAGATGATTCAGGTAGGTATTTCATCCAATTAATCCTCTTGTGCCTAATTTCTGATTGCTCATAGTCATATCCTTTGAAGTTAGGGTCAATAAGCGCAAAGATAAGTATATTTAAATTCAGTGTTTTGTGCTTTGAGTTTTCTCCACCTCAAAAAGAGTGGGATTTCAGCAAAACACTTTTTCTTTTTTCTTTTTTTTTTTTTTTTTGATACACTTATTCTGTCAATACAGATTCCAGGATTTGCTCAGAGAACTGTCACACCGTGATCAAAGTGAAAGTCGGGACTTAGCTGAAATGCCACCCCCTCAGTCAAGACTGTTGCAATATAGACAAGTTCAGCCCAGAAGCCCACCAGCACTCCCATCTCCTTCCTGCAACTCTAACCACAGTGGTCACTTCCCTAACTTCACTGAAAACAACAGAGACATTGAAATACCCAGTAACCCAGCATTTCAGCAACATTTACCCCAAATATACAATCCTCCTTTCTCAATGCCATCTGAACATATAACCCCTTCTCCCTTGAAATACCTGCAACCTGATGGATCGTGGACTTATGCTAACCTACAGCAGAATCACCTTATGGGGCAGGGCTTTCATTATGGTATACCTCCATTGCCCCACAGGTCACAACAAAGCCCTTTTATACAAATACAGAATCATCAGCACGCAGTTGGTCAGGAGCCATTTCATCCACTCGCATCTCGAGCAGTATCTGCTTCTTCGCTCCACAGCTTAGAAGAGGTAGGCATTTTTGTCTGCGTATGCAATTATCGTGTTGTTTTAATATCAAATTATATTTTGAAGTGGTCATGAATGCAAAATACCTCGCATATTAAAGGCTCACATTGGGAATTTCTGTGAGGTAAAAGTTTTCTCTACATATTCTCTCTTCATCCTGTGCATATTCATGATTATCATCACTGCAGGTATAACATTTTCTCTGCTATATGGGATGTCTTGACTTTTTCAATGTTCCTCAGAGTTTTCTTGCAATCATTACTCTATTATCTGCATGTCATTTATCTGGAGTGCAAATTAACCATACCCCAGGTAAAAACTCATGAAACGACTCTCTGGAAAGTCAGCTTGAATAAGCCAGCCAGTGGGCTCAGTATTAAAATGTGAATATAGTTGGGTTACTTTTCGTATGAACTTGAGACCAGAGCAGTACAGTTGTTTCAACATGGTACAAAATTTGATTTAATAAATCCCACCTGGTCTGAGCTAATTCTGTGTAAAGCCATCCTGTGTATTTTGGGGACTCAGAGTGTTGGAAATCAGTGCAGAGATATCCAGCTGTGCTGCATGAATCTGGGTCCAGCAGAAACACTGCCACAGCAGGGCTGGCTCTATCCCTCTTGATCTCTTTTTGTTCTGCACTCCAGGGGTGTGTGTTATGGGATGCAGACTATGCAAGGACATACAACTCGGACAGGTCACGTTTTGAACAGGAGTTTTTAATCCCTATTGGAATCCGGAGTGCTAAAGAGTGTATGATATGTAGACATGGAGTATGCTGGAGCCAGGTTGTATTCCAGGAATGTCTCAATTAATATTCTCAGATAATCTTGCACTTGACTGCATGTAATCTAATATTTGTACGTAAAGCTAAGTGGCTTGCTCTGTGATGCATTTCTGTCAGTGTTTTTACAGAAGCTGTGGGGCTATCCCTGCTCATCACTGTCCCACATAATACATATTTAATTGTCATTCGACTTCTGAAAATATTTAGTTTATGTGCCTGCTCAAAACAATGAAAATTGAATTCCAGTGCATTTTACAAATTTGTCGTATACAGATCTGGAGAGGTTAATGGAGTCCTCAGGCCCAGCCAGAGCTGTAGTAAGGTTTGGTTTTATAGACATTTAGAAATTCTATGTCTCGGTCCATTAAGCCGTACCACCTTGTATCAAAATCTAATACTTTGTGACAACAGTTTATGCTGTCAGTACAGCAGGACATAGGAACAATGGCTTTTCAGCAGTAATAAACTAATAAATATTCCCATAGAGTTTGTGACAGCTCCTGCTATCTGAAGACAAATAGAGTGAGCCTTTATGTAATTAGTGCAAACTCGTTTTAGTTCTTATTTCTTCTTCCTTTCAAAATATGTGACAGAAATGCCAAATGCAGTAAAAGTGTTACAAGACAGAGACTTGCTTGTAAAGTTTCTAGGACTGCTAGTTCAGCTGGTAGGTAGGACTGAATACACAAAGAAATCAAAATGCAGTTTTAGGTGAATTTTTAACAGAGATCCCTCATGTAAGGCAGGTGTCAGGGAAGATGTCATGACTTTTGGTATCCTTACTAAACTGTTTTCTCAATCACTACTTACAAAACTGTTCATTGACTTGATACTTGAAAGTTTTTGCATGTGTTTAATCAAACCAGATTTGAACTGCATAAGTTATTCTGTCTAGTCCTGTACTTTTAAGTGTCCGGAACTTTGATAACTTCCTGATTGCTTACCAAAATTGCCCATTAAACTCAATAAAAAGTATACTTTTTGAGTGTGATTCAGGCAGTAACTTCTGAATTTTGTGTTTTTGTTGTTGAAGAATACCCTCAAGAGAGTAGAGTGACAGGATATCTAAGTGCTCTTCCCTTGATATATCATAATAGTGTGGCAGCTATAATGAGAGATTACAGTTTTCTTTCATGGTCTCTTTTATCGCTGTCTTTTTTGTGGATGGTATAATAACAATATTGAGGCATTGCAAGCAAGTTATTTTATGTTTATTTAGCTAATTTTTTATGGCATTTCATTAGGATGTTTTTTTTTTTTCTTTACCGAGTATAGATTTACTTCTGTGACTTTTCTGTTATTTGTGCTCTTGTCAGTACAGTGCAGAAGGGAGCAAATACTGTGTTTATTTTAAAAAAATAGACCGTAATACAAGAGACTTGTTTGAATCTTGAGAAGGTTTAGAGAGTTCTTAAATCTGAACTCTTTAAGCCAGCAGGTTAATTAATGGAGCTTCTACCATTTTCATCTACATGATCTACAGGGTTTACAGAAGCAAGTAATTTCTGTGGTTTCAGGTAAAATTTTCTGCATTATTTCTGCTGAAGGCACACACTTCTCCAGACCATTTGTTTTCATAGAATCATAGAATGGTTTGGTTGGAAGGGACCTTAAAGACCATCTAAGTTCCAACTCCCCTGCCGTGGGCAGGGACACCTTCCACCAGACCAGGTTGCTCAAAGCCCCATCCAACCTGAACATTTTGTACCTACACAAAATCCAGTATACAGATGTATCATGCTTCCTGAAATCCTGTATACAGGTCACTAATTTGTCCTTCGGAAACTAAAAGCCTTTTTTTTTCCCTCTCCACATTGTATTTGAACATTTTCTTTTGCTCTTGTATGTTTCTGTGCTTCCTTTGCTTCATTTGTAAATGCTGGGTGTCTTCCTCCTCACTGTGTGATACATCTCCCATGTAGGAGTGTGAGATGTAAAGGTTGATAAGAGTTAGGGAATCTCAGTTGAAACTCTTTGCACTTCCTTTAAAATTCTGTGTCTGTTTTGTGTGGTTAAAATACATTATCGGTGACTCCAATATACAACATACAACTTGAAATGTATTAGGTTTGGTTTTTTTCCTAAATGAAAAGGACTTTCTGGTTTTGTTTTTTTGCTAAGCCATTGCAGGGAAAAAAATGGGATGGAAAAATGATATTTGATACATGCAGTTGAATAAAAGGAGCAAAAGGCCTTGTTTTGTTTTTTTTGTTCACAGTATGAACCAAGAGGACCAGGCAGGCCGTTGTACCAAAGAAGAATTTCCTCTAGTTCAGTCCAGGCTTGTTCTGAAGAATTAAGCACTCCTCAAGACAGTCTTGGTCAGTGTAAAGAGCTTCAGGACCACAATAACCAGTCGTCTTTCAACTATTCATCACCTGAGTTGTGGGTAAACTCCTCTTCATCTGCCCCATACCCAAACATTCCATGCAATGGAGCCAACAGAGCAGTTCCACCCCGGGAGTTGTTAGGTAGGTACGCACTTAATCTTTGCTTCTCTCTCTGCTCCATTAAGTAGACTATTTAGACTGGAGTGAGCAAGTCTAAATGAAAGGGTTGGTTGTTTTGGTTTTGTGGTTTTTTGTCTTTTCACAAAATGTTTTCTGCCATCTCTTCAAATCCCAAAACTAATTTAAGGAAAGATTTTTGAAGTATTCATTGTTTTAGTAGTTAAAGATTTGCTTAGAGTAATCCTATTTTCAGTTGCTCTCTTGTTAGCATTCTGGTATATTGCTGATGTCTAAAGAAGAATACTATTGATTATTCTTCGTCTACAAAAAGCAATACTGCTTCTTAGTCTTCTCACAAAAGTTCTAGTAAACCCACATGTTATCTTACAGTGGTTTCAAGTGCAACTGAGTTTTTGCTAAAAGGAGGTAAGGTGAGATTTATTTGCAAGATAAATTATTTGTTTCCAGAATCAATGATATTTCTTGTTGATACTATGGTCTGAGGGAGAAAAAACATGAACTGAATTAGTAATCTCAGTGTTATTTCCTAGTAAATTCTGGTACTTCATCAAAGTAATGATGAAGTTTAAACTCTCACCATGCAAGAGTCATGCTGGAACCTGGCTTCCCTGATGGTAGTAGCAATGCTGATTGATTTAGCAGAGGTAAACTAAATTAACTTTTCAGTTATTAAAAAAAAGCTGCAAGTAGAGAGTTGGAGCAGTGCAGCGATTCTTCTGTTCTCCATATTTTTAATGTTTGTGAAAAAACAAAATTACCAGAATAGTACAGTTTCTTCTCCATAATTTTGCTTTAAGGATCTTCAGTGATAATTAAAACCAAACCAAAACAAAATCTTCCAGTGTGAATATTAAAAACACTTAATAATGTGAAAAATTATTTATAAGCTGGCTTTATTGCCTTTAAAAGATCTAATTGCTTTTGGTCAAATTTTATAAACCTAAAACATCTTCTAATTTCATAGTGGAGTAATTGTGAAGTAGAAACATGCATTGTAGACTGAATGAAAAAAAGCCGTTTATATCAGTGACAGCACTCCAGAGTTAAGTTCCTAATGTGCATTTTCATTTCCAAAGTATAAAAATGTTATTTTACAAAACCGTATTTATGGTAGCATCTTTTGTGCTAAGTTCAAAGCTTCAGGTTCAACTTGGGCACTTCCTTCAGTCTATTTATATTTTTACTGAAAATCAAGGAGCTGAATGCATGATATTTGTGTCATTAAGAATGGCATTTGTCTCTGAAGTTGCTCTCTAGACTCTGTGGTAATGTAATAGGAGCTCAGGAACCCTAGGAAGATTATGTTGGGGTCAACTGATACCATGTTTCCTTGCTTTAACATAAAGATTGAGAACATGTTTGTGAGTAAAATCCTCAGAGGAAATATCTGTATGTAAAAAGTACCATATCTGTATGTTTGCTGTCAAATAATAAATCCTGAATGAAAGGGGCAAGTTTTGACTAGTATCTACATTTGCTACAAAAATATTTTTATTGTAGTTAAGCATGATTCCTGTTTGGTAAATAAATGTATATGCAATATTGCCCTGTATCTAATAGTTCATGCAAACAAATCTTCATTTTTATGGCTGCTCTGCTTTTCTGCATTTAAAGCTCACTGCCTATGGTGGTCATAGTTAAAGCCCAAATGTATCTTATAGTGCTAAGGGTTAATGACCAGTAACTTCAGGGTTTCTGGTTGCTATTGATTTTTATCCATGAAATAAAACCCCATGAGTATGAGGTGCTATGAACTAGTCCTGTGCCTGTATTCATTGCTTCAATGAGCAATCATGACACCAGACCGTTCAAGGGCTTTTATTTCCTGCACATCAGAAATGGCTGCGGCACAAGTATTCAGTTATATCAGCGTGGATTTATGGAGTGCAAGGAGAGCTGCTGTGAATTGCTCGATGTTGTTATATGCAGGGACTTTCCAAAATTGCAATTTGAGAGCTTGATTTGCATTGCTTTTTCTGTTGATAGAAAGAAAATTATTTAAGTTCTTACTCAAGATGTTTGTTTCATATTTTTTCTTCTGTTAGACACCTCTACCACACATAGCTTTCACCTCTGGTCCTGCTTGTCATTACTTGTCTTCTCTTGAGTGCTATGGTTATTTTGGGGAACTTTTTTCACTTGTGTTCTGGGTTGTTTTTTTGTTTTTTTTTTTTTTGAATCATAGCAACCCTAGCAAAACTGTTTGCTCATGTTCTTTCCATATTCATTCTTCTACGAGCTGGATTTTTTTAAAGTGAGAAACTTAACTGTATGCTTTATGGTTTTCTACTTTTGTACTCATTTGATGGTACATTTTTGTATGTGCTCTTTAAAAATAACATTATACATTTAAAGGTTGAAATAATTACAGAATATATCTGTTGGCCAACTCCTGGGCTATTTTAGATAGGACGTATACCTGCATTTCAGTGTGGGGTTTCTCTAGCTATGTAAGATAGCAGAATTCTCTAGACAAAAGTAGATACCTCATTAGGATTCAGGAAATTCACTTGAAAGCAGTTATACCTATGGTTTAAAGCATCATTTTTTCTGATAGTTACAGGAGTTGTTAAATGTGGAGCAAGAACGTATCAATTAGAAAAGGAATGCATTCAGACTAAAATATCAATAATTAGTTGGTTGGCGTTCAGGAGTCTGAATTGATGTTTGAGAATTGAATATATATGGTGCTGTAAATTTTAATTTTAGCCTATTAAGCTATAAAGCAAGAAGAATAAAATACTTTTTGTGCTGTCTCAGTGGGTAAAGTGTTTAAATTAGAGTATATCCCATTCTAAAGCAACTTACTTTCAGTGCATCTGCTAAATCTGCCTGTGCAGAATTGCAGGTACACACACATGGAGAGAATACGTTTAATAATGTCAGTCGTCTTGGCATTGCTGACAAGGATAATACAAGATGCAATAGTTGGAAATGAAGCTAGGTGACTTAATAATAAGAAATTTCCCAGGACCCAGAGTGACTAAACACAGAAAACTGAGGCGAGGGGGGAAGGTTATCAGGAGCAGTAGTTTCAGTACTTGCTTTGGGGTTACTATAGATAGATTTCCTAAGTCAGAGCTGTTCATTTAGACAAACTCTGGATGCTTCTTTCACAGCTCCACCGAAGACGGTCAAGCCCCCAGAGGAACACCTGAAGGCCGAGAACATACAACTATCCAATTCCTTCAACTACAGCGTGCTACAACATCTTGGCCAGTTCCCGCCTCTCATGCCCAACAAGCAGATCGTCGAGTCGAACAGCAACAGCCAGCAGAACGCTGGTGGGAGCAAGCCTGTCATGTCCTACGCAAGTGCTCTGCGGGCTCCGCCAAAGCCCAAACCTCCTCCTGAGCAGACAAAAAAGAATAGCGACCCTTTGTCTTTGTTTCAGGAACTTAGCCTAGGTAGTTCATCAGGTAGCAATGGCTTTTACTCCTATTTTAAATAATCAGATTATTTTTTTTAGAGAGAATTTAATTTTTATTTGTGTCAGTAGATCTGAGATAGTTGGGGCTTCACCTGTAGTTGCAAATATTCCCTTTGTTTATATTAGTAAATATATCCTCACTTAATTGCTTTGCTGCTAGACTTGCAACTAATTTTTTTAATTATATTCCATTATTTTGCATTTTTTGATGTGGGTCGGTTTTTTGGAAGCTTTTCTGTAGGAAAACACACATGTTATTTTTTAATTTGTGTAATGTTAATGATATGTTGCATTAAACTAGCAGCTGAGAGGTTACCTGTACAACTTTAAAAAAGAAAAAAAAAAAAAAAAAAAACAACTTTAAAAAAAAAAAAAAAAAAAAAAAAAAAAGAAAAAAGAACAAAAGGAAAAAAAAAGTTTGTCTAAATTGTATTTAAGAAGATTGTAAGTAGCATTTACATTTATTCAATAACATTAGCATACTACGCTGGGTTTCTGTACCAGAAATGGCCAGTTAATGTAAAAATGTATGTTATTTCTGCTTAAATTCATTTAATTTTTTTTTTTAATAAAGGTGCAGCATCTTCTAAATACTTTCAGTTTTATCAGCTTTTTTGTGAAGGGATGCTGCATTCTCAGACTTTTATAGTTTTAGATTCTGTATGATGTGGTATTGTATTTTCCATCCACTGTAGGGTAAAGTAAAGGCATTCTTTGCAGACACCTATGCCATTGTTTGGAAACATTCAGATTAAAAGTATTGGTATACTTTAAAAAAAAAAAAAAAAGAAAAAAAAAGAAAAAAAAAAAAAAAAAAAAAAAGAAAAAAAAAGAAAAAAAAAAAAGAAAAAAAAACCACAACAAAAAACCCAACAAAAACAAAAACTCTACATTTTATTTTTGGACAAGCTAGTAATATAAGCTTGTTTGAAAAGTTAATTTGATAGGTTTTTTAAATGAATCATGAAGCTGAAAATAAATTTTTAGGTATGTTGGTGCTTAGTAGATTTAATAACTATTTTAAAAAAAAAGCGTGAATTTAGTAAAATACTTTTTTGTTTGTTTGTTTAATTTTTTTCCACTATGCATGTGTAAATGTTTGTAATCTGGCTTTTTCCTCCCCCCTTCTCCAGTGGTATAAAGAATTGTGCCGCTTTAATTTTTTTTTTTCCGGTAAAACTTTTGGTACATTATTTGATGTTTACATTAAAATGTGACATTATACAAGGAAATTCAGATATTTTGCTAACTGTTTTATTTGAGGAACATCATTAAAGAAGAGATTTAATGTTTGTCAAAGCTGTATCCAAATTAATCTAAATCTTTCGGGGATAAGAATGATTACCAGGTTATTTATCTATATGAGTTCTGCTAAATTCTCCTCAAACCTGGCCCTTTAGGAATACAAACTGAAAAAAAAATAAATTATGGGATATTTAAAAATTAAAGAAACAAGTGTGAATGAAAACTCAGAAGATAAACTTTGTCCATAAAGATTTCTGGTCTTACACACTGTTCATACTTTTGCAGCTTGGGAGATAGAGAGGGCTGTTTGTATAGTTTCTCCAGATAAGTAGTCCTCCTTTTACACTTGAAATAACTTTAAATCTGGGAAATATTTTACAGGGACTGAGCTTGAGTGTAGTTGCAGTATTCCTCCACTTATTACATATAAGAATTAAAATTTTAGAGCTGTGTGGGGGTGATTTCAGATTTTTACAGCTGTCCGTGGGACACCTTACTAATGAGCAGTGGTCGCTGCTGTATTCAATCAGATTTTTGCTCTGGTTACAATCAGGTTTTGGTTTGGTGTTTTTTTTTTTTTGGCATTTGACTTCATGTTTTAAGGCAAGGGTCTTTATGTAATGGGGTTGATTTAAACTCAGTACACTGCGGAGGTTTGCATATGAATTTTTTATTGTAAATCTTTGCTGGTTTATGAATCAGAAACTTACCTGAAAACCTTTTTCCTTCTTTTTGCTGTAAAGAAAAGCACGCATAACTCGTTAATTTATTCCTAATGTCTATACCAAACAAAAGATGCTGGGGGAGGGGAAAGCACCTGCCAAATTATGCTTAGCACTTCAGCATATGGCATCAAATCAAGAGGACCCAAAAATGAGTAGAGGCCAAATTCTGTAACCTTGAATCAAGCAAAACTACTGTTAAATGGGTTTTTGCTGAGCTGACGGCTGCAGAAATAGGTCCATGGGAAATTCATTTGCAAGGGCCAGGCGTGTGCTCAGTGTAAGTTAGCCTCAGTCTTTTTATTTCAGCGGAACTGTGCCAGTTCTCCTCAACGGAGCGCCTGGCACTGGTCTGAGAGAAGAAGAATTTGTGTGCCTGAACGTTGTAGTCTGTGAAGAGTTCTTGATGAGGTGTGCAAGACTATGACAGAGGAGAGGTAGGGTTCAAATGCACTTCACTTCGCCGAGTTGGCATTGTAATTTCAGGGGTTTCAAAATCACTCATTTATATGGAGCAGTCTTTTGATTCTGTTCACCGTATTTCAATATTAAACTAATAAACATCACTTGTTAATTTACTGCTATCTGTCAATTAGTTAAGGGGGCGATGGTCGCATCTCGCCACATTTTGTTCTGTTTTACACTGCCATTTTATCTACACTGAAAATGTTGTGGATTAAGGAGCATTTTCTTTCTGACTTAAAGTTTCAGTTCTATAACTTTATGAAAATCCCCGCTGGTTTGGGTTCTAAATTTTCATTAAGTGCTCTCACCCAGGAGTCTGAGGATGGCATGGTAGAGATCTTCTATCAGCTTTGGAAATGCTTAGCATGAATCAGTTGCATTTCTTAGAGTTAATTTTTTTCCAAAAGATTATTTATTTTTAAATGTCTTGTCTAGGCATTATATGTCATGTATATAGCCCTGAGTGGGATCTTTTGTTTTTAGAGCAAATCATCCAATGTTTATTGAAGCCATAGCTGTTTAAAAACACCCCCAAAACTGTATTGTAAACTCTTCTAGGACTTTAATCAAACTGTTATTAAAATCAAATTAAGCCTTACAGATGGCTCCAGTGGGCCACTGGCTCAGACTGCACTGTAAATATGGAGCTATTGCAGTTACAGTGAAAATTCAAAATTATGAGTTTGGTTTGTATAAATTGTCTCAACTCAGAGGAAATGAATGGAGGCTTGGGCATATACACCAATGGAGTATCCGGCTCCTTGGCTTTTTGAATACTTAAAAGTACAATTAGTGCCAAATCCCATGCTCCTTGTCCAGGAATAACCCCCCCATTGTTGTCTGTGGAAAACTTAAATTAAAAGGTCATCCAGATCTGAATTTGGAAAGCTTGCATTTAGTATCAATAATAAATTCTGGGTTTATTGAATTCCAGTTTTTCATGAGAAAAATCTGGATGTCTCATGGGACGTTGTCAGTGTGGTGTTAAGAGCTAATAAAGAATTGAGAGAAAGATTTTTTTTTTAAAAAAAAAAAATTATTTGGACTCTAAAAAATTAAAGGTTTTTTTGCATTTCAAATAGAGCTCATACTCTTTAAAAAAACTCCTTAGTGAATGCAGCTGCTGGGTTTCCCTGTGTAGAATTCTTATGAAACTGCAAGCTTCAAACTTGGCCTTCTTAAGTCAGAAGAAGAAACTGGAGGAGATGCTGCTGTCTTCCGTGAGCACAGAGGTAACTTGGAGATAGTTTCTGAAATTACTATACCCTCAAAAGGTGTAAATGTTCTTTCCTTTGGTGTCCTGGGTAAACTTTGTTATGGCGTTGGAATATGAACGTGCTTGTCCACAGCTGCCTTCCCTGCCTGCGGTCATCAGCCTGTTTCTGAAAAGAGCTTCACTGCAGCCAAGGTCTCGGGCAGAGCTTTCGTGGTGCATCCCTGTCTCCGTGTGTTAGTTCTCTGGTGGCCGTGGGCTCTTCTGTGGTGTGCCGCTCTCCCTGCTGTGCCGGACACTTAAGCAAGTGGTTCCACCTGGGGATACGGTCTCGGGTCTGCCCGCAGTGTCAAGCTCCTCGTAACCAAGAGCGTGTCGTAGGGACAATTCTGCTCTCCGTTCTGTCTAGCATAAATCTTCACCCTTTATAATGCTTAGCTGCTATTCAAATGGCGGCCTTAAGTGCTTCCACAATACAGCTAATAAATAGCTGTTATGCATAAAAGCTGGCTAGTTAGAACCAAAGCCTTTGCATCCATATTTTCTCCTGGAAGTTGTCATCTAGTAGAGCTTGTACTGTTTTACTCAATTGTATGGGCTCTGGCATTACTGACCCTTAGCAGTATGTGAATACTGCCATTGACTTTACAAATACTGAGTGCTATTCCCTACTTTGATTAATTAATGTTTTGTTCCCAGATTTGTCAAATTCAGCTGGTGGTTTTGTATTGTGTTTTTGTGTTGTGTTTTTTTTTTTCTTTTTTTTCCAGAGATCATGCTCTATAAGCAATTCTTTTGCTATGTATGTAGTATCTCTGCTCTCTCAGTAGCACTGAGAGCAGTGTGTTTGACCACTCTAAAGTTTCTTTTTAGAGAAAACTCAAGCATATCAGAATCTGCACATTTCCAGAGCAATAAGCCCATGATGCTTCATGCTCTGCCCATATTGTTCAACTCATTTCATTTGTTTTGTTAGCTTTTTAAGTTTCTAGTTTTCCTAGAAAAACCTCAGACAATTAACTTGTCAAGACAGATGGTGATGAGCTATGGTGCCTATAAAAATTTGCACATCATATTTCTTGACATGAAATATGGGCTATTTCTGTTGGTATAGCAATACTTGCGCCAGTATCTTTTTGTTAGTTGTGTCAGGGAGCAAGGATTGAATCATTCTAAATTTTTTTTTTTCTTTCATTCAAGAAAAGTAAAAGCATTTACAGCAATGTGATGGAAATATCAGTTTGGTGTGGGGTTTTTGGCAACTTTAGTTTTAGCTGAGAAATGTTGAAAAGTTTTTACCTCCTTAAGGATTAATAGATGCTTCTGATAAATTACAGAAAATGCTCTGTGATCTGCATTGTCCAAGACTAGTCAGAAGATCTTGTCAATCCGTTTTCCTTAAGACTTGCTCCCTCCTGAAGGGCAAATACTTGTTCACAAGACCAGCTGTAAAGCCATCATGGGGCTCCCAGCGAGACGGTGATTGTGGGCACAAAACCGAACCAGAGCCCTGGGATACAGCCCTGCCAAAAGAGACTTGTGCCGCTGGTTCTGTTAAACAGAAAGTAGGCCAGAAATCAGAGTTTATTCCCTTCTTTGCATTTCTTTGTAGAAAACAGAAAAGCAGCTCACTGTCTGTCTAGATGCAGAGTCTGCATATGGGATGTCTGCATGGCTTGAATTTATGTTCCGTAGCTTCACTGGAGCCAGAACATCAATCAAGTATGACAAAGCAAGAACAATCTCATCCTCTACTTCAGTCAAAACAAAGACGTGACGCTCTTTTCTTGCCCCTTGGTGATAATGGAAAGGGGAAATAATTTAAAAGGATGCACTTAAAGCAAGTCCTATTGTTGTGTGTGTAGCTTATGGTACAGAGCAGCCTAAACATTCCAGTACTAGATGATCTTCAAGATCCCTTCCAACCAAACTGTTCTATGATTCTATTGACGTTACAAAAGTAATACAACTTTCAAAGCGGAACTGTCCCGCTATGGAAAGTGGAAGCTTATTTTAAATGAAGTTTAAACTGAGGTTTATTGTATAAACAGTTTCCTGGCATGCTGGTGTCAGCCTGTAGCATACTGGATGGAGCCCAAGGGCTCAGTGCTGGTCTCCAGGGCCCTCCCTGGGGCTGGCAGGATGTAGTGCTGCAAACAGCTGTCTCTTGGCATTGATGACCTCTTGTATTGGGTATGTTCCTCAAGAGCCATCAAACTTAGGAGAGAAAGTGCCCCTTTGCAGTGGGGCCAAGGGTCTCATTGGGCGGGGGGGGCAGGGGAGAAATTCTCAGATCTTTGGGACTTTCTGGAAATCATTTCCACAGCTAAGGAGGAAGAAAAGAGGTGATGGCCACAAGGAAGTGACGGAGTGGAAAGGGATCAGTGAAAAAAAAGAAGTAAGTTAGTTTACCTGTGCCTTTCTAAACTGCATGCCAGGGTGGTCAAACAGCCAAGCAGCGTGCATATGCTGGCCCTTTTCAGGCACAACTAAGGGAAGAGTAGGATTTGGTACCAAGATTTGCGAATGAAACCCTCGGTGCATGCACCCATCTGTGTGCTATAAACCGGGCTGACCTGCGAGCTCTTCGTCCCCGCCTGGCTGGGGCTGGGTTGTCGCTGCTGCGGTGCCCCTTTGCAGATAAACGCTGTTCCCAGAGCTCAGCGAGCTGCTTGCTAAACAGGCGAGTTTGTTCTTCAGGGTTGTCAGTCTGGCACCTTTTCTGCACATTAAATTCACACAACGCAGCATTTAAAAATCAGGGAAGCAGATTTGATCCACGCCTTGTGCCTAACAGCAAATTTTACTCTTACATAAACAAAAAACTTCACATCTTCTGTTGCATTGACTCTGTGATTTCACGCTTGGGCTTTGCAGTGCGGTGGGCAGACTTTAGCAACCGAAATCTCACAATACCGTGTCATGCGCGATGCCCCGGGGCACCTCGCTGTGGGTGCCCTGGGGAGGGGACGGTCAGTGATGTTGGTTTATGGAGTGGCAAATGGCACGTGCCCAAGGGACCCGTGACTGAAGGTGTCCATAGGTCTGGCAGTGGCAGGACCAACACTCGGGATTTCATGGTGGCTGGTCGTAGTTACTTATTCTGTGAATTAATTTGCCTCTTCCTCTCTGGTGCGTGTTTCCCACTCGGTTCTCTGGCCATGTCCCCAAACCCATGTGTGCTGCTGGTGGTTGTGTAGGGGCAGGGTTCCCATCCCTCTTTCGCTTGACGACTCCCTGCTAACGAGGACGTTTCTGTCACATTTTCATGCTACATTTCTGAAGTTTTGGTGGCTGCTGCCTGCTATTTGCTCAGCTGAGAGAATGAAAACTGAAACTGGTTACAACTCCCCCCCCAACATTATGTTCTTCTTTCTCCTTTATGAAGGCCAGTTACTTTTATTAACTCTCTCAAAACCCATTATCAGCTCCCTGGCAGATTTAGATATGGCAGAGCAAACCTGCTGTAGGAGCAGTGCCTTTCCCACTGTGAATGCCAATGACCAATTTAATGGATGAGTCCCTCATCAGCATTTCTTAATATCTAGAAAAAGAAAATGAAGTCATCCGCATGCTTCTCAGTCTTGCAGGGACCGTACGAAGTAGTGAATGATCAAAAAGCCTCAACTTAGAGCAGATGAAGAATAAAGCTCAGCAAGAGCTTTGGGAGGCATCTAGCTCAGCTGCCGGAGTTGCTGTCTGTGGGTGTAGGACCTCGCTGCTGTGAGCTGTGTTTTTTCTCTGCCTCATGAGTAAAGTGAGCCCAGAGAGGCTGTAAAACCTCTGGATCCAGGCCAAACCCCAGCACTCGCTGGAGGTCTTTCCATTGCCCTCACTGGGCCTTGGACAAAGTGGTTCAGCCCTGAGAGAAGTGGGAGCATGCATGAGGGGAGTGAGACCTCCCAGGATGTGTTTATCTGAAATGTGTACATCTTGCTCTTGAATATCACGAAGAGGAGTAAGCAGCTCCTTGGCTGGGCAACAAGTTGGCCCATCAGGATAAGAAGCCACCTAGAAATTACTTTGTCCTAGAAGAAGCATTGCAGGAGAGGGATGGTGTGGATGAAGGGCTTCCCGCGGGCAGAGGACATGCCACCGGTCCGTGTGGGGTGATGAAATTAAGACCCGCATCCCCAAACTTCACTTATCAGAACCCATTGCATGTCCAAAGTGAGGTCATTTTGATGACGATGGCTGTGCTGGGAATGCCTTTGTGCCTGCCAGCTGCTTTGCTTAGATTAATCTGTGTTGCCTATGTTTGGATATCCCAACCTGGGGTCAGCCACCCCACGGATCACACCAACTCCTTTCCTTTCTGTTGTCACATGTAAAGGATCTCCCTAGAAACTAACCTCTGTTTTCCTGAACAATGAAAATGCAAATTAAGAATGTCAGCTCTGTACCCAAAAATAAGATTTCAAAACCATCTAGCATTTCACAGGGGTTCAGTGACAACTTGAAGACTTGCAGTTGTCTCATGATGACAGACAGGCAGAGTTCCCCAGCTCATACTCAGATCTGAGCACCAATGAATGCTTTATCCCCAAACTTTATAATATACATGTTATTTGTAGTGCTTTTCAACTTCAAAGAGCTTGAAAAATATTAATGTGACTTCACAAAAGGCTTCTGTTCTCGCTGCCACTCTACTGATGGGAAAATGGAGACGTGCCTGAGTCTGCCGGGGGATGCTGGGGCTCAGCGTGCCCGGATGGGGTCTGGCCGGCAGCAGGGCCATGGGCAGCCCCCCGTACCAGCACAGAATTGCTGGGTAACTTCTGGAAATGTTTGAGCGTGTCATGATTTCAGATCTCTTCAAACTGATCAGAAATTTGCTGTTCCGAATTCCATTTTTCTTTAGAATTGTGGACAACTAAGCGTGGAGGGAAGGACACTTCAGTTTCCTTTTCTCCTGCTTTTTAAATTATCGGGTGAAAAAACTGCACTGTAAAACACGTCCTTTTTCCTACCTGGGGGGAGAATGCTGAGCAGGTTCTGAAACTCGAACTGTAAAAAAAAAAAAAGACACCCACCTCTTGGTGCTGGGGGGCTTTGATGGTGCAGAGGGACTGGGTGAGCGCATGGGGCTGGGGGACCCCCGGTCCCCCCCAGTGCTGCAGGCAGCCGTGGCAGAGCAGCGCGGGGGTCCGCAAGGCAGCCAGCCTCCGCAGCCTCCCCCGTCAGCGATGCCGCGGGTGTACGTTTCTTCAAGCACGCATAAACAGCAATGCGCTTTTGTAGTATTTTTGGGACTGACTCTCCTGGGTGTTTCAGCCTAAATCCTTTCCTTCTTGGCAGCTACCTTGAAGGATTTTTGCTAAAATGTGGTTTTATGTATGTATGCAGTGCGCAAAGAACGGTATTCTTAAAAAGTCCATTCATGACAAACAAATGAGAGCTCCGTACAGTAAATACCATCCAGAATTACACTGTCATTCTGGACCTAGCAGAATTTGATGGGCCAAGTGATTCATCCATCAAAATAATTTTCCAGAAAATCATGCTACTGGAAGATTATGCTTTTTATTAAAGGAAAATGTCACTCTTAATGTTCAGTACTTCTTGGCTTTGCCATCAAAGTTTAAGCAGAACAAAAACTGTATCTTGTGGGTTTTTTGTGCTTAATCCAAAAGAATGGAACTGCAGGGTGTAAATTTGTAGGAGAAATTTTTATCCCAATGCTAGGCAAAGTACTTTTTTTTTTTTTCCCCCCAAATGTTAACAGTTTAATAGAATAGCATAAAGATCTCCAACTTACTTCAGAGCAGTGAGCTAACCCTGCTTGGGGAGGCAGAGGAGTATGGCATGAATGGGGAAACGGACTCCCCACGGACCTAGAATTTCTCCCTATCTCTTTCTGACCAAGTGAGGTGTAAAAGCTCGATATCCCTCCTGGATCTGCTCTTTAAGCCTAACTACACCAAACGTCTTCTCCCTAAGAAAGCTGTCTTCTCTGTGGCATGAGCTGTCTCACACGCAGATTTTTCCCTCAACTGCATCAGCCAGATTGGCACAGAGCAGTGCCATTCACCCACAACCCACGCTGGTGCTGAATGCTCCTGCTTTCTTAAAAAAAAGAAAAAAGAAAAAAAAAGAAAAGAAAGAAAGCAATAATTATAATTGAACATGCCTCGGTTCAGTAATGACTTAGTTAATGGGGTGCACATTGTATAGTGAGACCCAGACATTTTAAAAAATACAAATATTTTCAAAACACTTTCTGGATTTTTTTTCACGGGTGCTGGGAACATCAGTGCTCTGGTTCTGCATCCATGCAGGTCTCCCAGGGGTTCTGGGGGAAGCGAGGCAGCGCGATCAGGAGGAGGGTGATGCCGCAGATGAAGAGCAGGACGAAGGAGGCGCAGGCACAGGCAAAGGACCAGGAGTAGCTGTACTCAATCCAGACTGTCTCCTTGCTGTCGATCATCCTCTTCACAGATTGTCTCATGACTTCAACAGAGATGATGATGCAGAGACCTGAAGGAAGATAGGAGTAGTGGGTTGAGTAACCAGCTGTCAATTTTTCATCCTTAATTAACCACCTCATCTGTCTTTTTGCATACAGGAATGGCAGTGAGATTCACAGGTGAGTCATTGAATTCAATGTTTGAAGGAACCAACGCTCGCCACTGCTGAGAGCTCTGCTGTAACTCAGGCCGTCCAAGTCAGCCGTGGCTTGTTGAGTGTGATCTCTTAGGCAGGCTTGGATGGGAGATTCAAAGTGGTGGAGGAGTAATTGCATTCCCTGGGGAGCTTTTCCAAAGGTTGAGTAAGAGTTTTATTGAGGTGACAATTTGCACCTCTGTCTTTTGGTCATTGTGGCATGTCAAGGTATTACTAGCTCATGTAGAAATGCAGTCTTCATGGTTTTGGGAGACAGCTGTGTATTTTGGGCCTGGATCAGCTGTTTCTTTGGTTTCAGTCTTAATAAATGAGATAAAATAGTGTATATCCCTGGCTTAGACTGGGGTCAGCACTGAGTGTGCTAGAAATGTCCCTTTTAAAGGTAGTTGGAGAAAATACAGACGGGCTGCTGGGTAATACTTGCTGAGCAGGACATTTTCAGAGCTCTTCAGCTGGAGCACCACGTATGGACTTGTAGTCTGACTGTGGCTAGGAAGAAAATGCCACTTTCAGGGCATTTTTAGAAGTGTCTCCATCCTCCCAGGATCTATCTAAGTTTCTCTGTGTTGTCCTGTGAACTGAGTACAAGTATGTGAGCACCAAGCCTCCTACCTGCGAAGGTGTAGAACATGGATGCTGGCTTCAGCAGATACTCCCTCTTCTTCCCGAAGGATAAGAGGACGCAGATCGTTCCGATGATTGCAAAGCCAACGCTGAAGATGGCAATGGCTGCAGCTGAAATGCTGTATTCTGCCAAAGGAAAACAAACACCCCGAAATGCAAATGTATGCAAATTTTGAGCATGTTCCCATCAGCTGTGGTGACTTTGCAGTAGGTCCCTCCAAGAAATACGCATACTCCTGCTGCTATGGAGAGATGGCTCTGGTAAGTTGAGTATTTCCCTCAAATAAAAGCAGGGGCAAGTATTAGCCGTGTATTTTTTGAATGCAAAGGGTATAAAAACAGAGCAGGAGGGAGAAACACTTTCTGAACACTGAAAGAGCAGATGGCACCTGTATTGGTCCGATGGAGCTCTGGGCTGGACTCTGCTGCATAGATGTTATTGTTGAAGCCTTACTGGGCTCCAAGCTCTCAATTCTTCCATCACTCCACCCTCTGCTCTCAGAGTAAATAGACAGCTCTACGCTATTTTTATTCCATCCCTGTATTGCAGAGGCCCCCGTGCATGGTGCCGATGTTGTAGCGATGCAGAAAGACAGCTGGATGCTCCGCAGGGCTCAAAATCTGCGCAGGCAAAGCACGCAGGAGGCCAGAGGTGAAGTGTTTGCATAGCACCTTTTTTTTTTTTTTTTTTTTTTTTTTTTTTTTCCTTTAAGACAATGATTTCCAGCTCTGTGAAAACCCAGCCTTTTGAAGACATAGGATTAAACCCTCCACAAAATGTCCTGGTTTTTGCTAAGGCAGCTAAGATGTGCGCTGGACACTTCCCCCAGCTGAAGCACACTTCAGTGCCTGAGTGGAGAGGAAGAATTGCTAATTGAATAATTCAGGCTTTCATTTACATATTGCATTCATTTTCAGATTAGTTTAATATTTAACACATGTAGCCATGCGTGAACATCATAGTGCATGATGATATTTGCCTTTCAAGCCATTAAAAAAAAAATATCTCCCAGGCAAAGTCATGAAGAATTTTTTTGCCTGTTACTAATTAGCTACCATCAAAATGTAGTTATTTCTGTGAAAGGGAACAGCAGATCACTCTTTGTTCTCATTACTTTTCATACCACTGTTTTATTATAATTTCCTTAATGTTTCTCTTTACTATGTGCTGGAACTGCCTGAAAGTTTTCATTTTGATGTAAAATCTTTTGTTCAAACTTAAGCTTTTTCTTTTGCTTCAAAGAAATTAAGTTCTTCCTGATTTTTTCTGAAATGACTAAAAAGGCATTGGGTGCATTTTTAAGATCAGACAGCTGGATCTGGTAGTATATAAATGAACAAAAGCAGGTAGCTCAGGTATATGCTCTTCTGTCCACTTAAAATTCCCAGTCTTTCCTCTCTTAGGAAACTGTGGTTTTTTCAAAAACCTGTTTGCAGGGTTTTCCACCATTATCACTTCCACTGGAAGCAAAGCAAATTGTTTAATATGTGTAATGTAATCATCAGCTCTTTACTCCACAGTGAAATATGTTGTGTGGGAAACTAGGAAGAATTTGTCCTTAATGAGAGGGCGAGAAAGAGAGAGGAGCACCTTAGATGAGTGCTAAAAATGTTTGGCTTTATCAGGGACTTATCAGAAATGTGAAATTTGTCTGTGAAGGACTGTTGTCCAAAGCGATGCTCTGTAAGCACTGACTGTGCGTGTCTCTGCAGGATCTCTGTTCCTTCCTTCCATTGACCGCTCTGGTTTTTACATGACTTTCATATAAAATCAGTATCAAGCATAAAATTCCTAATGGTCTTCACAGAGTCTCTGTACTTCTTTTCAGGGTCAAGACTCTGCTTGGGGTATCATTTATTCATTTAGATTTTATTAATGTCGTCTTCCTTCGATGGCAAAGGCTCAGAGTGTCACAGATAGTGCCGATGTTGTAAAGTCATTTTGACGCTGAAAAGACTTTTTGCAGTTTTCCTGTGTATTGACATTGTTATATATTTGTGGGACAACTTTGAGTAAAATCACACTTATGAGTGTGATCATATATAAAAATTATTCTTTCCAGGAAGTTGGCATTTGACCTTGTTCAAAGCATTTCTTTCACGTTTTTCCTAGCCGGTGGTATCTGATAGAAATTCCTCTGCTGCTTTCAGTGGAACCAGGATTGAACCCTCATTCTGGGGACCCCTTTACCTTAGATCTTGTGTGCATCTCAGTTAGGAAAATATTTTTCAGGATCATTCTTACCTTTTTGGGTGGTTACTTCAAATATCTCCGAGCTCTGTCCTGGTGTGAAGTGCTTGAAGTAGGAGCAGTTCTGTTCTGAAAGGGAAAAGCAAATTTAATTTTGTGTGCTTGGAAATCTCTGATAAAATGTGGTAAAACTGAACTTTTTATTGATGTATCAAACTTGCAATGTTTTTAAGGTTCTCTACCCTTGCTGATCCCGAGAAACTGGAGTTGGATCTGGTTTTTTTGGGAGCAGAGGAGTGGCCACAAGGCTGAAGCCCCCTCTGATACCTTTTGTGGACTACTCCCTCCAAGAGCTTTGCACGCTGATTGCTCATCTATTTAAAATATGAATTACAGATAATTTTTCTCATTTTGTCTTTGGCCATGACACGTTTCTGCCTCTCTGTGTAGCTGTATTTCCTGGTGATGAGACCTGCTGTGCCCACAGCTGTGCTGGCATCTCAGCTCACCTCCCCTTCCCACTGCCAACCCACTCCATAGTGGCATCACCCCACCGGCCATACGAGGGTCACCACTCCTGGACTCCAAAACAGGAGGATGGAATGTCCTCACCCACCTTCTGCCTCCTGGCTCTTCCCTCCTCCAGCCCGGAGACCCCGGTGTGGCAGCGGGTGGGTGGGGGGGGGG